AGGCGTGAGCCACCAGCGCCTGGCACTTCTACCAAATGCTACTCAGCATGCCAGGTCTGAAGGCCAGGCTCCCCGTCTCACTGTCCTACGAACAGAGCCCGGGCGGAGGAGAGGAGTGTTCCTGTGGCTCAGTGGCTTCTGCTGTGCGCATTCTACAGCCAAGCCACACCTCTGCGTGGTCCCTGGCACCACTCCTAGGACTTCGCTGATTGCTGTAATGAAAGCCAAAGGGTGGGAAAGAACAATTGGATTTTCAAGAGAGCAATTAAGCGGAATTATTCATTGGCACCTGGCAAATTCAAGCTGTTGAGGTCCAGTGTTAATTGTGCACCTGCCTTTCTGCTCCACTGAAATTGCCACCAAAGGAAGCTGAGTCAGAGGCACGCCGGCGAGGGCAGGCCCGCGGGCTGCAGCCTCCCAGGCGAGGGAGGAGGGGAGGCGGGTGCAAGGGGAAGGTGGCACCCAGGAGCACCGCGATGTCCAGGGAGGGGTTAGGAAGCTGGGCCAGTCCAGCCGCTGTCACCGGCGCCCGAAGAGCGAGACCAGAGCGGAGGGAGAGCACAGTCGACTTCACCTGACGGTTCTCGGCGCCTTACTCAGACCCTGTTTAGAGGGTAAGATGTCGCTATAAATGTGCGTTGAGCAGAAGGCAGCTCTGAGTGGATCCGCGTTTCTCCCACACATGAACGGCGAGGCAGGTAGAGGATGACACACCAATGCCCCCCCCCCCTTGGGAGCTGCATGTGTCACTGGTGGCAAGAGGGACCAGGCCTGTGTGGGGAGGGAGCTGTGGAGGAAAGGCTGGCTGGGGCCGTGGCTTTGGAGCTTGGAGCCCATGGTCACTTGGTCACCGTTACCAGGCTGGGGGGGGGGGGGCCAGGGCATGCAACTCCTGGCTGCCAGGAAGCAGAGAGAGACCAGAAGAGGCCAGGGACGAGCTCCAGAGTCGTGCCCACTCCCTCCAATCAGATCCCGCCTTCTTAAACAGCCAGAGCTCGGCCTGGCGCGGTGGCTTATGTCTGTAATCCTGAGATCTGAGGATCACAGTTCAAAGCTGGCCGGGGCAGGAAAGTCTGTGACACCTATCTCCAATTAACCACCCAAAAGCCCTAAGCCAGGTGCACGCATTCAAGGATTCTTAGTAAATACCACAAAAGTGAGAGACGGGAAGGGTGGCCCACGGGAGAGAGGGTGACACCAATCAAGAGGCGTGGTAGTCATAAACTCTTTTACCTCCTCTGAACAACTATGTAGACAGTATTTTTTCCCTTAAGCCAGGAGTGGAGCTGTGGTTCAAGTGGTAGAGCACTAGCCTTGAGTAAAAAGGCTTAGGAACAGCACCCAGGTCCTGAGTTCAAGCCCTAGCATTGGTACAAAACAACTGAAGACCAGAGTTCAATTCCTGAGCACGGATACGCCCGCTCCCGACCCGCCTCCAAACCCTCGCTCACCCTGTGAGCCTGCCCACGGCAGCGTCCCTCCCACCTCCCACAGCCCTTCCCGTGGCCGGCCCCGGCCGCCCCCCCCCCCTCCATCACACAGCTTTATCCCCACTGTCTGTCCACACCCATCCCGGCAGATGACACCTGCCCTTATGGGGCAGTCACGGCGTGACACCTGCCGGTCCCTCGCCCTGTTTATCATCCTCCCCACCTTTAGCGGCATCAGAACCAGCTTTTACAAGTGTATCTGTGTACTGGTTTGCAGCCAGTGTTAGAAGTGCGTCCGCCATACAGCAGGTTCCATCCGTGCAGGAGGAAAATGGAGGGGCTGGAGAAGGCCTGGGGGTAATTCCCAAGGACGTGCCACGGAAGGATGCACCTGTGAACCAACCGTCAGGGCGGGATTACGGAGCACAGGCCCTGCACACCTGCTCCATGTCGGCTGCCCTGGCCGCGCCACGAGGCCCGGACCGAGCTGTGGGCTCCCCGGCGACTTTCTGTCAAGCCCCAGAGAGCCGCAGGAGGAGGAATGCTTCCCCAAGCCATGAGACCGCACTGAGCGGCTTCATGAAGGATTCTCAGTTCCGGCTGAGGCATGACGTCTCTGGTCCCACACGCGCGCGGGAGTCCCTTCGCGCATAGCAAACGCCCGGCACTCTATTTTTCATGGGAATGTGAAGGATGAGAAAGATAAACCTTAGGGGTTTCCCAGAAACGGCAGCCCTGCCTCTGAGCTACGGTGCTCACCGGCGAGCACTGGGCGTGCGTGCCCAGCAGGATTACGCCTTCCATTCCAATTGTAACAAGTGATTAATTACACGGTTTGGGGTTGGTGTGAGTCATAAATTTCCCATGCAGAGAGCGAGAGTGATTTTCTTTCTTCAAACACACACATTCTTTATAAGCACATGCCGTATTTGAGTGGAAGGTTACTCAAAATGTCTCCCTTAGGAACCCTGACTGAGCTGGCTGGGGTCCTGGTCTGAGGTAAAAACAGCATTTCAACTTTCTACCTCAGGGCACCCCACTTGAGGCCCATCTTCTCTATGGTTGACGTTTTATTAAGTATTTCCAGAGGAAAAAAATCCAGCCTCAAGGTGAGAACCCAGGAAGTCCCCAGCAGAACAGGACTTGAGCTGCCCAGCAAGGTTTCCTGGCCTGTCTCGAGCGCCATGCTGGGAAGGGGGGGGGGGGGGCTGAGCCCGGCCACTCCACAAGCCACAAGCCGTCCCTGCAGGCAGACAAGACGCTGCCCTGTCTGACACACGGCAGACCTAGCTTCTGAATGTTAAAACCTTCCTCTCTCAAGAGCTCCACTTTGCAATTCAAAGAAAGACAGGTTTTTGTGATGGTTGTTCTCTTTTGATATTCAAAAGCCTCTTCTGAAATCCAAAGTCAAGAAGTTGACTTTGTTATCAGAACCGCCACGCATCAGCATGCCCAAATGCAGCTCAGGTAATGTGTGCGCGGGCCAGCGCGTGCAGATGCGAAAAAATACCACCAGTGAGTACGCCAGGGTGTGGATGGGGCTCTGCCACCAAAATGTCTGCAAAGAGGGTGGTGGGAGAGCTTAAGAGATTTAGTCATGGGATAGTTATTTCAAGACCACTAAAAAGCATTTAAAAAAAAAAAAGAAGAAACCCTTACTGTATTTCCTGTACCATCGACCAAAACCCCTCTTCTGCTCCTTCTCAGCAGCACCCTTATGCCATGTAACTTGCTCAGAATACCGGTGTGGACACTGGCCTGGGCTGGACACATTAAGCTGTGCATGGTGACATTTCGTAAGGCAGAGCTGGTGTGTGTGGGGACAGGGGCAGGGGCGCACACGGTGCATCACAGACCTGGGCTGGTGGTGATGCATCCAGCACCCTCCCCAGGAGGGCATTAGCTCTGCTGCGCCCTCCCTTTGTAGACACGGGGCTGTGGTGATTGATGAGGACCAGGCGACACTGCCCAAATCCAGCAGCAGCCAGGGCGGGCTTGGAGGAGGCTGGCAAAGCCTCCAGACTTTCCGTCTATGGTTCTCGTGGGCCAGGAGAGGTGCTGGACGCTGGTTGGGTGGACTGAGGCGCTTCCTGGAGAAGCATCCGCTGGGGGCTGGGGTCTCGGGCGGGAGAGCGGCATGAACACAGCTGAATTGACTCGCGCTCCTAGGGGCGTGCGGGATCCTGTCATCATGAACACAGCGGTGTGGGGAGCGAGGGGAGTCCCCTGGGGACGGGGACCTGCAGGGTAAGCCACTGTGCAGAAGGATGGGGCATTCCTAAATGCAAGCCAAAGCTCTGAACCGTCCTGGAAAGGAAGGAAGGTGAATCTGTTCCTGTCTCCCGTCTTCTTCCCACCTGGGATTCAGACCTGATGGAGGGACTGGTGACCGCTGCCCCTTCTTCCCACCTGGGATTCAGACCTGATGGAGGGACTGGTGACCGCTGCCCGCCACGAGCCCCAGCCGGTCACCTGCTGAGCACGGGGGGGGGGGGGGGGGAGTGGGGAGGGAAGCCGCTGCCTGGGTTTTTCTATCTGTGGTAATCCCACGAGACCCTGGCTGACCCCACGGCATAAAGGATACAGCTGGTCCTTTTGAGGACCATTTCCAAAACCACCTAAAATTCTAACCGTGCATGCATGCGTGAGTGGCCGGCAAATGTCTCGGGAGGCTGAGGCGCTGGCCGCCAGGCTGGCACTGGGCGAGGACAGCTGGCGGCCGGCCCACCCCGAGCGCCGAGGGCCACCGCTGGGGGCAGTGGTCTTGCTGAAGCCTGGTGATTTTACTTTTCACTCGGCTCACTACCCATGACTCTAAGTCTACCTGCACAAATTCAAGTAGGAGACCGAAGCTCCTCCCCGGGGGTGGGTTCCTCTTTCGGCATCTGAGTACACACTTGAACTCTGGCCTGCGCACTGCCCCTCAGCTCTTCAGCTCGGAGTCTCACAGACTGTCCTGCCCAGGCTGGCTTGGAACCACGATCCTCAGCTCTCAGCCGCCTGAGTACTAGGCTGACAGGCGTGAGCCACTGGCGCCCGGCTGCCTTTTCTTGAGAGCACCCGGATGGATCTGCTCAGTCCATCCGCACAGGCCGCGGCCTGGGCCTTCAGAGAGCAGGCAGCTCTGCGTGCTGGGCACGGCCGGCATTTCTCACGGCAATGGAGCAGACAGACGCGTCCCTGGACAAGCACAGCCACGTCCAGGGTGAGGACCCTCCTCGGGGAAGCGTCTGACAGGGAGCAGCTGAGGCTGCTTCCGGAATAAACACAGGGGTGAATGCATGATGGCCACAAGCTTTACTACGCAGAACTTTCCCTTCCCGATGTGTGTCGGGCATGGGAGCACTTTAAGCGAGATGCTGCTTTTGCTCCCTTTTGAACAGGATGGAGATGCAAACGCTCAGATGAGCCCTCACACGAGAGCACTGCTGGCTCCAAGCCCTCACCCGGCCAGAGCCTCCGCAAGCCCTTCAGGAGCGGCTCCCTGTGGGCCTCCAGAGCGCTTTCTCCTCTCCTCCTCTGGGTGGCTGATTCTGAGCCAGAGCTGACTTCACGTCCACAGACTGGACAGACGGACCGCACCTATGCTGGAAAGAGATGGCGTCGGGACTCAGCGGGGCTCTGCGCGGGGTCAACGCGGCCGCCACGGGGGTGGCGGTGGCCTCTAGGGAGGGCGGTTCCAGTGTGGTGACGGCCACTGTGACAATGCCACTGTGTCTTTGGCCATGCCTCACAGCTAAGGCCTGCTACAGGCTGGAAGCTGGTGACTGTTCGCAGGTCCTTGCTCCTGGGGGTCCAGGAGCACCTGGGAGGCAGGGGCAGCAAAGTCTCAGGCCATGGGAGATGGGTGGGAGAGGTGGGCGGGGCCTCGGGCAGCCTTGCCGGGCACGGCAGAGTGAACGCGGAGTCCCACGGCTCCTCGGGAACTTAGAGCGGGTGGCGGCAGCCCAGGCACTCCAGGCCCTCAGCGCCCTGGCGGGGCTGGGCTGGAGGTCAGGGGCCCAGGACCAGGCCAGAAAGGCTGTCTGCACCCTCAGCTCACTATTCCGATTGTTTTTCTGCTTTGTGAACTGGCAGTGGTGGGTCCGGGTCGCTCAAGGGCTTGCAAAGCGAGAGAGTTGCAAAGACGATCCTCCGACTCGCTCATCACCCATCACCGGCCCCCAGCTGGGCACGGTCTGCAGCGCGGGGAGCGTGGGGTGGCCGGGCGCCGCCGGGCGCTGGCTGGGACCGGACCCGCCGCTCGCCCTCAGTCCTCCGCGCTGCCCGCCAGCTTCCTGACGAGGCTCTGGTAGGTGTCTCTCTCCACCTGCCACGCATGGTGCCTCCTCACGTACTCCTTCCCGCGGGCGGCGAGCGCCTGCTCCAGCTCAGGCTCGTGAAGCAGTCTCTTTGCCAAGTGAATGAACTCCTGGAAGAGAGGGCGTGCAGGAGACACGACATGAGCCGCAGGCGGAGGGGGCGGGCTGCCCCGCACCTGTGCCGGTCCACAGCGGGGCGGGGCGCCTCACTTCCATGCCTCCCCAGGGCCCGAGCCGGGGCCTGAACCGAGTCCCGGGCTCCACTTAGGGGACAGACATGGCCAGCCGGCCCTCTCCTCATCTGCGCCCACCGGGAAGCTGAGGGAGCCAGGGACACAGGCTCGTGTGCCAGGGCCCCAGGGACACAGTGCAGCGACACAATCAGCGCTGGAGGCCCAGTCTCGCACACCTAGCTATGCTCACTCAGCACTGGAGACCCAGCCTCGCACACCTAGTGATGCTCACACAAACAGCGCTGGAGACCCAGCCTCGCACACCTAGCAATGCTCAATCAGTGCTGGAGGCCCAGCCTCGCACACCTAGCAATGCTCAATCAGCACTGGAGACCCAGCCTCGCACACCTAGCAATGCTGACACAAACAGCACTGGACGCCCAGCCTCGCACATCTAGTGATGCTCACACAAACAGCACTGGAGGTCGAGCCTCACACACCTAGTGATGCTCACACAAACAGCACTGGAGGCTGAGCCTCGCACACCTAGTGATGCTGACACAAACAGCACTGGATGCCCAGCCTCGCACACCTAGTGATGCTGACACAAATAGCACCAGAGGCCCAGCCTCGCACACCTAGCGATGCTCACACAAACAGCACTGGAGGCCAAGCCTCGCACACCTAGTGATGCTGACACAATCAGCACTGGAAGCTGAGCCTCACATACCTAGCGATGCTGACACAAACAGCACTGAAGGCCGAGCCTTGCACACCTGGTGATGGTGCACAATCAGCACTGGAGGCTGAGCCTCGCACACCTGGCGATGCTGACACAAATAGCACTAAAGGCTGAGCCTTGCACACCTGGCAATGGTGCACAATAAGCACTGGAGGCCAAGCTTTACACACCTAGTGATGGTGCACAATCAGCAATGGAGGCCGAGCCTCGCACACTGAGCGATGGTGCACAATCAACAATGGAAGCTGAGCCTTGCACACCAAGTGAAGTATCCTCCCCCCCGCTGTCAGTCCCCCATTATCCCCCACAAGCCCATGGGAACCCCAGAGCTCTGCTGTTTAAAAGGACTGTCCACATACTCTCAAAATTATTGTTAATTAAACACTGGATGCCTTTTATGGCCAACAATCTGAATAGCAATATTTATGAGAGAATTATATTTTTATGTATTTGTGTGTATACTTTAGAGCAAATTGGTGTTCTTTTCATAATAAAAATGTAACGTATTTATCCCCATCTCGTGGCAGAACAGCACCCGTATTGAAGTTATCAGAGAGACTTACAACCCTGGAATATCATTTTACGATATTGCTCATATCTCTGATTTACCCAACACAGAGATTTTTGGCTGAAACCCAACGCCCTGCTTATACAAATTCTGAGGAACGTAAGGCCATTTTACAACAAGATCCTGAATGATAGAGTTTCTAGGAACAGGGTGTGATAAAATGCTCTTTTTTTCTTAGCAGTAAGGAAGTCTGGAAAAAATAAATAAAACAGAAGATTTAAATAAAGCCAGAAAGATCTGGGTTAGGAGTAGGGCTCACCACATGAATGGAGAGAGCAGGGCGCATGCAAGATCCCTGGAAGGCAGGCTCCCGCCCTGGGTTCTGGGATGTCTTGACCATTACGGAAAGCCCTCCCGTCCAGCCCACACCACGTACAGCTCTGCAGGGCCATTTCCCCACCCCCTAGTTAAAGGGGAGGGTCCACTTCTCTCAGATAGAACTGGCCACGTAACGTGCTGCATCAGATGTCAGAAGGAGTGCAGGGTGATCTGTAATCCCAGACACTTGGGAGGTGGTTCCGGGCTGGCCCAGGCAATTGTTAACGAGCCTCCATCTCCACGGACGGCCCACGGAAGGGCCTGCCTCCACAGAGGCTTGGGTGGGAGGATCGAGGTCTGTGGCCAGACAAAAATGCAAGACCCTACGTGAAAAAATAACCTAATGTGAAAAGGGCTCCAGTGGTAGAGGAGCGGCCTAGGGAGTTCAAATGCCGCTAGAAGAAGATGACGAAGAAACGGAAGAGCAGGTGCAGTTTCACTTCCAAGCCAAGGTACAGTGTGCTCTTGCACACTTGTGGACAGTGCAGAAGGATGTCTGGGTCCTCCTTGCTGCCACCAGCATCCAGGCTGACACACCCAAGCCGGGTGTGGACAGAGATGCCTGGCCACCATCCCTAAGGCCACACAGCCCGGGAGGGCTGTCTCGGGCCGTCCAGCCCAAGGGGGATGGTCACTGGGCAAGTGGCCACTACACCTATGGGTGGCCGTTGGCTAGATAGTAGAAGAGCCACCCCCGAGCCCAGCTGGAGTGTTCACACCTGCCCTCGGTGCCTGGTGAACTCAGGAGGGGCCTGTGCTGGGACCCTTCCGTCCCTGACAGGGACTGGCCTGCCCTGGCACATCTCCCCACCCTGAAGCCACGGGTCCCCCTCCATGTGCTCACCCTCACAACTGTGGCTGGCAGGCTGAAGCCCCAGTGCCGGTGGGAGGCTGGGCCTCCTGGGGGACTGCCAGTGGGAGACCCCCCTCCCGTATTCCCAGAGGACTCTCACCAAGCTCTACTCTCCCAGCTCCACCCCAGCCCGGTGCCTCCCTGGCCCAGCCAGGCCCCAGCTTGCTGTGGTGTGGAGAGAGCCCCACCTGGTGGCTGGTCCCATCCCAGCCACACGCCAAGCTGCGGCTTTGCGAACATGGGGGCTTTACCTCCTCCACTCACTGCCATGCTCTGCTGTGACCAGCGCTGGCCCGTTGGATGAAGCAGGGCCCAGGGCGGGGATGGATGCTCCCCAGGACAGAGAAGAGGCCCGGGACGGGGCACTCTCCTGGGTAGGCCCGGGACAGGACTTGCTCTCCAGGAGCCAGGAATATCCTAAAGCCTAAGTGCCGACACTCCTTACAAAATAAGAACAAGTCAAGGGAGGGAGGAAGAGCAGAGAGAATCAGACAGGAGAGACAGAGGAGGGGAGGAGAGGCAGGGAGAGTCGGGGAGAGGGAGGGTGGGAGGGGCAGGCAGGAGGAGAGGGAAGGTCTGTGACTCGGCCTCTTGAGGCCGCAGTGACAGCACTGGCTCAGACGAGCCCGGGTGGTCAGCAGCGCTGTGCCAAGCCCTCCCTCCCGGGCCCCTCCATGCAGGTCCCTGTGGGGAGCTGCCCTCTTCCCAGGTACCTGTCCCGTGCGCAGGGAGCACCGCTCCTCACATTTAACTCATCTACTCCATTGTTGGTTAAAGAAATGATCCCTGATATCTGTTTTTTAATGTAAAGCCTGAAGACTCCAAAGAACTGGAATATACTATGTCCCTGATAAATGTCACTCATCACCATTCACAGTCCAAATTTTGCTTTTTTTCTGTGGTTGTCTGTAAAACAAATAGAACTGTCCAGAAAAATGAGCTTGGGCTCCCCTTTAAGAGTCTGACCCTGAGAGAGAAAATGGATTCGTGGTTTTTATTGAATGCCACATGGATCTTAATTTGGTAGCGATAAAACACAGCTATAAAACAACTAGGAAAATCACTCTGCTCTTCCCTCCTTCAAAGGAGAAATAACGGGGTTGTTGAAGTAATGAAAAATCAATGCTGGTTTGGTCTGCAAAGCTTTGCTTAAATTGAAGTTTTCCAGGGTTAGGTGTATAAAAATAGTGAGCATTCTGTGCCTCCTGCGGCTGAATGTGTCCAGTCATCAATTTTTTAAATCAAAATTGTTTTCTGTATTTGATTTAGTCAGCTTCCTTCATAAGGGACCCCAAGAAAGCCTTCCTGGTTCCTCTTAGCTATGCAAGCAGCTGGCTCTGGGGTGGGGTCTGGGTCTGGGGTGGGGTCTGGGTCTGGGGTGGAGGCTGGGTCTGGGGTGGGGTCTGGGTCTGGGGTGGAGGCTGGGTCTGGGGTGGGAGGCTGGGTCTGGGGTGGAGGCTGGGTCTGGGGTGGAGGCTGGGTCTGGGGTGGAGGCTGGGTCTGGGGTGGGGTCTGGGTCTGTGGTGGGGTCTGGGTCTGTGGTGGAGGCTGGGTCTGGGGTGGGGTCTGGGTCTGGGGTGGGGTCTGGGTCTGGGGTGGAGGCTGGGTCTGGGGTGGAGGCTGGGTCTGGGGTGGGGTCTGGGTCTGGGGTGGGGTCTGGGTCTGAGGTGGAGGCTGGGTCTGGGGTGGAGGCTGGGTCTGGGGTGGAGGCTGGGTCTGGGGTGGGAGGCTGGGTCTGGGGTGGAGGCTGGGTCTGGGGTGGAGGCTGGGTCTGGGGTGGAGGCTGGGTCTGGGGTGGGAGGCTGGGTCTGGGGTGGAGGCTGGGTCAGGGGTGGAGGGTTCAGTACCTCGTGGCCCCCCCAACAGCAGCCCCCCTTTCCCTGCCGGCGGGGGGCAGAGGCTGCCTCTCGCTCCTCGCTGCATGGCCCCTCTGCAGGCCCAGGCCTCTCCTCACCAATCTCTCCCTTCCCCTCCCCTTTCCTCTCTGAAAACTTCTGTCTTTGGCCTGGAAATCTATCTTTGAAGTCAGGTTTCTGTATATTCTCAATGAAGGAATAAAAGTTAAGGCAGACTAGATTAATAACTAGATTAGCATGCTATCTCGGATACGTACTTTTTTTACACATATTTAACTTGCAAGGCCAGCAATCTTTCTGAAGAAAGAAAACGCCGTTTCTAGAACCTATCTGAATAGGTATTTGGCATTAATTCTGCCCGCCCTGCAGCATGCCATGGGCTGACATTGTCTGAGGTTCTTGGTTGGGATTAATACGATCTAGTTCCAGACTTGCTTAAAAATCAACAACAAAAAACCCCACATTTTTGTTTTTAAAGCCAAACCTCCCACCCTCAAGTGGTAAAGTCTGGTTGAAACTATGAAGAAAACAAAAGCCAAACTCAGTGTGAAATCCGCGTCTAGCGCGTGCGGTTCTGGGGTGCCAAGAAACAGCGTCCCCTGCGTGAAGCCAGGAAGGGAGCGGCCTTCGTTTTCCAAACAAGTTTTTAGAACAACCTTTGTAAAGCTAACACAGAGGGTCCAGGGGAAGCCGGCCCGTGATGCTGCGTGAGTCTGGCAGCTCCGGGAGCGGGCAGTGCGAGACAGGCCCCAGGCGGCGGGCGGGAAGCCGTAAGCACTTTCAGAAACACAACGCCGGGGCCAGGGGGGCCAGGGAGGCCGCCTGCCCTCCGCCTCTGTCCTGCCCATAGGCCACTGACACAGGCAGAGCCATCACACCCTCTCACGCTGGGAAGCTGGGCTCAAAGGGAAATGGGCACTGTTGAGGGTCGGGAGAACCCAGCTCTGCCAGCGCGGTGGACGACACTCTCTGCCTGCAGCTTGGCCAGGCTGGCGGGGGAGACCCAGGCCGGAGCTGGTTGGGTAACAGACACTCCTGTGCTTGGAGCGCCAACAAGGGCTTGCAGAGGTGGCTTCCTGTCTGGAGCTGGGTTTGTTGTTAGTTCTGTTTGTTTTGGTGTGGGGGAAAGGCAAGGCACTGGCACGCAGAGGCCTGGTTAGGTCCTCCCATGCCTGGGGACGCACCAGACCCCCTGCCCCAAAGCTGACCTGGGGTTGTTTAGGCGGGAATCACTGACTCGTAACAAGCCAGCTGTGGACAGAGGGGCCTAAAGTGTCAGGGACAGGACAAGCCACGCTGGAGGGGACATCTGCCGCCGGATGCTCCAGACATGGAAGCCGGAGGGAGGAGAGGGAGGCATCCTGGGCCCTGGACATGAGGCTCGGCCCCTGTTCAAACATCCCAGACGCCCGGCCTTGCCAGCCAGGGAGAGCCTGCCAGGACCCGGGACTCACAGGCCATCCTGGCGTGGCCCGGCGAATGTGTGCGGGTATGACAGGCTGGGACTCGCGCTCACCTGGGGGTCAGAGAAGAGCAGCCCAGTCACCTCATGCTCCACCACAGCTGCGTTCCCAGGGATGTTCCGGGCCAGCACAGGGACTTCCAGATCCATCGCCTAAGGAGACAGAAGGACCGACGGGCAGACTGTCACTTGGAGGGTTCAGTGATAAGAGGGGCTATGCACGCTCCCCGGGCCCCCTCCCAGCACCTCACAAAACACAGGCCGGCCAAGATGGCCTCACCGCCACAAGCCCGCACTGTGAGGCCACACCCGAGCCGTAGCTGCCTCTTGCCTGTGGGAGCTCGGGAAACGAGACCGTCATCGCCTGACTGACACAATCGCTGCAGCAGCCCTCTGACAGGGTGCAGCTTTCCTTTCAATTACTGTGGCGGTCAGCTATGGCCCAGGCCCACCCCGGGGAAGGGGATCCGGCTGTGGAAGACCCACCGCGGACTGTGGAGGCAGACGGTGGCGGAAGAAGATGCTGAACGCACCGAGGGCTGGACATCCACAGGCCAAAGCCGCCTGGGGAAACGTAGAATGTGGCTGGAGTGTGAAGGCGGCCTGAGGGGCTCACGTGAGATGGGTTTGGAAATGTGCGATCACCTGCAGAGCAGGTGCAGCGAACCGAGAACCTGGAGCAGGTGATCTGGACGCCAGAGGGCAGGCCAAGGCACCGCTGCACCCCTGCCTCTGTGTTCTCCACACCAGCCCCCCCTCACCACCCCAGGTCCCGTGGATGGAGCCTTCCCGTGGGCACTGTGCGCTCTGTAGCCGGTAGGCCATTCTTAGCCAGGTGGGCGTGGGTTACAGTGATGTTTTTATCCTGTACAGCAGAATGAGGAAGCTCAGCCGCTGGCCACACCCACCGAGCTGCCCACTGATGACGGTGGCTCAGGTGTAGTGAGCATCTGGGCAGGTGTGAAAACCCTGGATGAAAACTATCCAGTGCAGACTCTCACAGAGGGCTGCTTGCATGCAAGTGTGTGTGTGTGTGTGTGTGTGTGTGTGTGTGTGTGTGTGTGTGTCTTAGGCCAGAACTGGGGCTTGAACTCAGCACCCTGAGCTCTTAGTTGGCTTTTTTCACTCAAGACTGGCACTCTACCACTTAAGCCACAGCTCCATTCCAGCTTTCTGGTGGTTAATTGGAGATAAGAGTCTCACTGACTTTCCAGCCCAGGCTGGCTTTGAACCACAATCCTTAGATCTGAGCCTCGAGTAGCTAGGATGACAGGCGTGAGCCACCGGTGCCCAGCAATTCTCTTGTATGGTGATGGCTTGGGGGGCAGTGTGCTGGGTAATCACCACTCATTGTGGGGATCATCATCTGAACACGGCACACTGAAGTGCCGAGTGCTGCATGCGTCCAGACACTGGGCCGAGAGCTGTTCATGGGGGCAGGGGCGGGGGGGGGGGGGGAAGCAGGGGATGGGGCGCTGCGTAAGCTTTAGAGTACAACCCTCCTTTCTTCTGGGTGGCAAAAATTGGCTCCGCTCTGTGTTCTGTGTGCTTTCTGAGAAGCACTAATTAGGAAGACGAGGATGAGAAGATCATTCTTTTTTTTTTTCAGTACTGGGGTTTGAACTCAGGGCCTTGTGTCTGCTACCACTTCAGCCATACCTCCAGCCTTTTTTGCTTTTGTTATTTAAAAAAACAATGAGATCTCACATTGATGCCTGAGTGGGCCTGACTGTGACGCTCCAGTTTACGCTTTCCACACAGCCGGAATGACAGACATGCACCACCACCCTCCATGAAACGTCTGGTTGATCCCAGTTCTCTTGAACGTTTTCTGCCTGGGTTGGCCTTGAACCACATCCTCTTGAGGTCTGCCTCCCAGATAACAGGGATTACAGGTGTGAGCCACCATGACCAGACTGAGGAGAACCTAATGCTGTCCTCTGCAGTTCTGTGCAGGTGAACGCCCCTGGGCAGCGGCAGCCCAGTCCAGGAACGTGGCCCCTGTGGCCCTGCTGGGGGTGACGTGGGGGCCTGTCCGTGAGAAGGGTGTTTTCGCATGCTGCCACGGGAGAACACCCCATTTGGGAAGATCGATCGCGAACTTCACAGGTGATTGTTAGCGATGGTCCGCACTGGGCATCTGAACGGATTCTAACGAAACCCACGCTCGCCACTTCCCTGGAAATCAGCTTCATTCAAAACCCCTCGCCTGCAGGTTATCTTGAACTTTTCAGAAAGAACGAGATGTCAACATTTTAAGGCAGTTGCAATGGTTAGCAGCTGCTTTTCCTTTGAAATAAACGAGGTTTGACAGCAACTTATCCACAGCAAAATGCTGTGTGTGTGCTAGTTATAAAATCCTTCCCTACATCCCCTCATTAGGAAAAAAAAAAAATGTGCCTAGATACAAAACAGCATCCAGTAGGTGCTCAATACTGGCGCCGATCAGGGGAGAGAACCAGCCTAGAGCTCAGTGGGGATGGACCGGGGTGGGGCTCAGGGGTGGGGCTCGGGGGTGGGGCTCGGGGGTGGGGCACGGGGGTGGGGCTCGGGGGTGGGGCACGGGGGTGGGGCTCGGGGGTGGGGCACGGGGGTGGGGCTCGGGGGTGGGGCTCGGGGGTGGGGCACGGGGGTGGGGCTCGGGGGTGGGGCACGGGGGTGGGGCTCGGGGGTGGGGCACGGGGGTGGGGCTCGGGGGTGGGGCACGGGGGTGGGGCTCGGGGGTGGGGCACGGGGGTGGGGCTCGGGGGTGGGGCACGGGGGTGGGGCTCGGGGGTGGGGCACGGGGGTGGGGCTCGGGGGTGGGGCACGGGGGTGGGGCTCGGGGGTGGGGCACGGGGGTGGGGCTCGGGGGTGGGGCTCGGGGGTGGGGCACGGGGGCTCGGGGGTGGGGCACGGGGGTGGGGCTCGGGGGTGGGGCTCGGGGGTGGGGCACGGCGGTGGGGCACAGGGGTGGGGCACGGGGGTGGGGCTCGGGGGTGGGGCACGGGGGTGGGGCTCGGGGGTGGGGCACGGGGGTGGGGCTCGGGGGTGGGGCTCGGGGGTGGGGCTCGGGGGTGGGGCACGGGGGCTCGGGGGTGGGGCACGGGGGTGGGGCACGGGGGTGGGGCTCGGGGGTGGGGCACGGGGGTGGGGCTCGGGGGTGGGGCACGGGGGTGGGGCACGGGGGTGGGGCACGGGGGTGGGGCTCGGGGGTGGGGCACGGGGGTGGGGCTCGGGGGTGGGGCTCGGGGGTGGGGCACGGGGGGCACGGGGGTGGGGCACGGGGGGCACGGGGGTGGGGCACGGGGGGCACGGGGGTGGGGCACGGGGGTGGGGCTCGGGGGTGGGGCTCGGGGGTGGGGCTCGGGGGTGGGGCACGGGGGCACGGGGGTGGGGCACGGGGGCACGGGGGTGGGGCACGGGGGCACGGGGGTGGGGCTCGGGGGTGGGGCACGGGGTGGGGCACGGGGGGCTCGGGGGTGGGGCACGGGGGTGGGGCACGGGGGGCACGGGGGTGGGGCACGGGGGGCACGGGGGTGGGGCACGGGGGGCTCGGGGGTGGGGCTCGGGGGTGGGGCGGGGGTGGGGCACGGGGGGCTCGGGGGTGGGGCACGGGGGTGGGGCATGGGGGGCACGGGGGTGGGGCTCGGGGGTGGGGCACGGGGTTGGGGCTCGGGGGTGGGGCACGGGGGTGGGGCACGGGGGTGGGGCTCGGGGGTGGGGCACGGGGGTGGGGCACGGGGGTGGGGCACGGGGGGCACGGGGGTGGGGCACGGGGGTGGGGCTCGGGGGTGGGGCACGGGGGTGGGGCACGGGGGTGGGGCATGGGGGGTGGGGCACGGGGGTGGGGCACGGGGGTGGGGCACGGGGGTGGGGCACGGGGGGCACGGGGGTGGGGCACGGGGGTGGGGCACGGGGGTGGGGCACGGGGGGCACGGGGGTGGGGCACGGGGGTGGGGCACGGGGGTGGGGCACGGGGGTGGGGCACGGGGGTGGGGCACGGGGGTGGGGCTCGGGGGTGGGGCACGGGGTGGGGCACGGGGGTGGGGCACGGGGGTGGGGCACGGGGGGCACGGGGGTGGGGCACGGGGGTGGGGCACGGGGGTGGGGCACGGGGGTGGGGCACGGGGGTGGGGCACGGGGGTGGGGCACGGGGGTGGGGCACGGGGGTGGGGCATGGGGGGGTGGGGCAAGGGGGGGCACGGGTGGGGCTTAGGGGTGGGGCTCAGGGGTGGGGCTCGGGCGCAGGCCGGAGCCCGGCAGCCTTGCCACACCCCTGCGAGCCCCACTTGAGTCCACCGCAGGGGTAGCTTCCGGCATCTCCCTTGTGATCTTACTTTGTTCTGGGTTTTCGTTTGGTGAAACAACCAAGGAAAACACATGTCTTACAGCGCTGGCCAGAGCTCAGGTTTGGGAAGAGGACGTTTTCCTCTTTGCCACATTCTCTGGGGCTTGTAAACTGTCCCTCTGCCAGTGAATCCAGTGCATTCAGATGGCAGCCAAGGGCATCAAGCAGGCTACGGGTATGGTGGGTCTGGCCAAGAACACAACAGTGGACCGCACAGGGCGAGCAGGGTGAGCCCTGACCCAAGGCCTCCCCTTCTGCAGTAGGCTCAGCCACGCGTGGGCTGCGCCCCCGCAGGACCCGAGGCCGTCGGTGGGACAGCTGCCTGCGCAGGACGCGGGGCCAGCCCCTCCGGGCATGGCCTCCCTCAAAGGGAAACCTGCGTTAGACTCACATCAACAACTACCTAGACAATGTCGTTAGGATATTCTGCTACAATGTCCTTCCCCAGAGCCCCTGAGAGGGGAGAAGACACGTTAGGGGGTCACCTCAGACAGGGAGAGCTTGGCTGTAACCCGGTACGTGAGTGGACACTGCCCAGCAGAGCCTGACGTAGAGTCCAGGGCAGAACTTCCTGGCTGCAGCCTGCCCCACGCGGCAGCCATACCTGGCTGGTCACACACCTCTGGCCAAAGCAGAGGCCATGCTGCTGTCCAGCCCAGCACGGGATGCACAAGTGTTCCCTCCATCCCCGCTGGTCGCTGGGATCGCGGAGCACAACAGAGTGGCGAGAAGAGAAATGGGCTCAAGGCAGGCGTTTGGGGGAAAACCTCGCCCCGCTTCCTGCCCCGTCCCCCGCCTCCCCGTCCTGGGCCTCACTTCATTCTGGTCCCCGCAAAGAGAAACAGCAGTGAGAACTGAAGCAAGAGCTCCGAGATAGCCCTCCACACGTTGGTCATCCTCCTGCCTTTAGAAGACAGAGACCCGACACCCACCAGTCAGCCGCCACGCGGAGCCCGGGCTCACATTCCCGTCCCAACGCTGCGTACCTCCAGGATGGCGGCCGACATGCCCTCGGAGAGGGAGCTGTTCACCAGCGCGAAGCAGTTCTTCATGGCCGCGTGCAGGTCCCCCTGCGACATCTCGCCGACCAGCCGCACCCCGGAGGTCCTGAACCACAGGGAGAGAGCACATGGGAGACGTGAGGAGAAGCCTTTGAGGATGACTCTAGATCAGGCCAGCACAACTGGCTGAATCCGTGATGGTCCCTGTGCCTGGTCTGTATGAATACGCGCACTGCACTGGCTCCAACACTGGGAGCCAGATGCACTTCAGGGGAACCCACACCCTGCCCCCCAGAGCTGACAGAGCTGTGACCCAGCTGGGTCACGCTTCCCACCAAGCAGCTTCTTCCCGTGTTCCTTCCTGTCCCTGCCCTTGCCGGCCCCATCTTGTTGGACGCACACCCTCTGACCCAGTGGGCTGAGCTGTGCAATGTGGGCATCTGCCCTGTGAACGTGGCAGACTCCGACTCACACACAGGGCCAGATCCCCTCTGAGGAGGGTGGCACCCAGGGGCACTGGGAGAAAGCCCTTCCAAGGACAGGCGCAATGGAGGGTGCAGCCTTCTTGCTCTGTCCTGTCTCCTGCCCCGTGATGGATGAAGTCCTGTGACCAGACGGCCTGTCACAGAAGGACGGGAGACATAGGCCAGGGTACCAGGATGGGGACTGAAGCAGCCCAGGGCCCTGAAGGCTCAGCCCACCCCAGTCCGCCATTAAACTACTCTCAGATTTGTCTTGGGAGATAGGATCTGGTGATGTAGTCCAGGCGGGACCATTCCATTCCCCAGCCTCAGGGCTGGGATATAGTCGGTGCCACCAGGCCCAGATCAGATTGTCTTAAATGAGCCATTAAACATCAACTCATCCAACCCAGTGCTGTGGAGAGTTGGTTTTTTTCTGGCAGGAGAATGCAGTTTCTAACCAATACACTGACAAACTGATCTTGGAAGAGGCTCCAGCCAAAGACAAGGCAGCTCCATCCTTCCAAACCCTGGGGGACGGGAAAGACTTAAGTCTTTTCAGTATGTGCCAGTGTAACCCACGAAGCTGTATCCCCTGCCATGGTATGGTTTCCCCTGCGTTCCGGCTGGCCCTGCGGTGGGCCAGTGTCTACGCGGTGCAGCTGTCGCCTCCAGGCTGAGCCACGGGGCAGGGTGGGACTGCAAGGCCTGGGAGAGGCCTGGGCACCGTGAGGAGCCTCGCGGGCTTCCTCTCCCCTCACCTCTTCACCCGGGCTTTTACTTCTCTTGTGAACTCTGGATCCACCTGGAAGGAGACAGAGAAAGACCTAAGGGGTCGGTAGTAGAGCCCCAGTCTCCAGAGAATTAAACCTAAGGGCTGCGGAGCCGAGTCCACACCCAAATCCCACAGACAGGGGTGCCTGGGTTTGTTCCGCGGGGCTGGCGGTGTCAGGAGTGCTCACTCCGTGCGTGGCTGTGCAGGCTGCGTCACACTCGAGGCACAAGGCTGTGCGGGGCTTGGAACTCGGCCCTAGAGAGATGTTTGGAGGGAAGAAGGCCCAGCGTGAGTGAGCAGGGCGCCGTTTTCTAGTCACTCAGGACACTGTGGGCTAAAAGCCCTTTGCACACACTAACGTCTTTGTGGAAACGCCTTCATCTCCTTTGACTCAGGAAGACACAGCTCAGAGAGATGGTTTCTCACGCTGCTAGAAAGGTGCTGGCCCAGTCTTCACATCCAGGCAGTCTGACTCGAGAGAGTCAAGCTCATAAAACCGGTTTCTGCTGTGGAATGCCTATGGAATACCTACTTGCTCTATGTTCCAGTCTCTCCAGGCATGTCACCCTGTCCCCAGATCCTCTTCCCGGGTACAGACAATGCCCCCTCACAGACGCCCTCCATTGACTGTCCTCCCACGAGAGCCAGCAGCAGGGGGCCTCTGCACCCCATCCCCCTGCCCGGACCCCGGGAGGTGCTTGGCGCACAGTTCTGTGCCTGGGAATCTATGCGGATGGACAGGATAGTCTGTTCATTCCCCAGTTCTGATCACTTCTGTTCAAGGTACCTGGAGCCTCCGAGTTAATTCCATGATCGCTGGGCACCCCAGGATGAGCAGTAAACAGTCCAATAAAAACATGACTTGCTCTACACATTAATTTTCACGTTAATAATTTACTCCTGATCATTTTAGCTTAACAACCTCCTCCCCTTGATTGATTAGCATGCTTCTGCACTCATAATTAACTCTTCGGGGAAAGATCATTTGCCAGGGAATCAAATCAAAACCCCTAAGGCCTCTGAAATACCCAGCACCTGAACTGAAGTTTCGCTTAAGTTCTAACAGCCTCTCGGGACAGAACTTCACACTGCACTGTGTTCTCTGGGTTTACTTTCCACATGAGTTCATTTTCAAATCTCTTAGTGAAGCCAAGCGAAACAAAATGCATGACGAAGAGAAAAAGGAAGGGCAGACAGATACTCAGTTAATGAAAGCACACACTATGAAAATTTTAGTGGCACAAGCACTGTGAACAGCAGGGGCGGTCTTCAGTTCTTCCTCTGAGTCATTTACTTTCCAGGAGAAATATATTGTCCTGGTTCTGGGGCTTAGGGGAAACGACCTCTGATATAAGAAGCTACCAGGGGAGTTACAAGGCTTCCATGCCCACACTGACCATCCCCAGGTGCTCCTTAGCACCAGAAAAGGCCAAGCAGGGTGCCCCGGGGCAAGAGCTGTGCGTTTCTCTGAAATGGGAAACTGGAGATCAAAGGGACTTTCATGGAAAACCAAACGCCAGGTGTCTGCAGACAAGGCAGGGCCTCGGCAAGTTGGAGCAGAAAGAGAACGTTGCTCTAGCAGTTGCTTTTCTCCCCTAATATCAGCGAGATGCTGCCTGAGAGCCAGGCTCTAGAGCTTCACAGCCCACGGCAAGGCAGGAGCTGTGTCTTACCCCAGCTTTACAGATGGAGACACTGAGGCCCTGCCAGCTGAGCCATGAGCATCTGGGCACTGAACCTTGAGTGTGGGCAGGCACGCATCCCCACCACGTGGCCAGAAACAGCTCCTCTGACAACAAGACAGGAGCCCAGCGTTCCGAGAAGCTCACTCTAGAACTGAACATGCTCACAAAGCAAGCATCCACGGTTTTAAAATAATCCAGAACATTGTTGTGCTAATTTGTAAATGGTTGCAGAGTAGACTGCTTGAAACACTTTACATGTGTGCATAAAGAGAAGATAATGGCAACCACTAAAATTGTAATAAAAAAAAGTAAACAAATAAGGGCAGAAAAGAGAAACTGTGGGGGTGAATGCGGTCTGTACGCATATGGTCATAACACAGTGAGACCCTTTTGTATAACCAACTTATAGTAATAAAAGAGGAAATAAAATACTGAAGCCAATGATGTAAATGCTGCCAATTAAAGAGCAGAGTGGTGGTAGTCAGGACAGGTAACGCCTAAGAGACAGGTGTGCCGCTGGCTGAGCCGTGGAGGTTACAGCTGTGGGTGTCAGGAGACAGGCGCTGAGCTCAGCCCCGCACCTCCCAGAGTCCCTGGGGATTGAGGCGGTGGGGACTACCAGCCAAGGGGGCTGGTGCAGTCTGGGCCCAGACCGCAGCTGGTGTGTTCTTCTCGCTGGGACACGCCCAGGGGCCTGAAACACTTGCTGTGCAGTGTGCACTTTCAAAAGGAAGCAGATGTGAAGACACACGGAGAGGCACAGAGAAGCAGAGGTGCGGGATGCACAGGGCACCGCAGATAACAGAAACCATGGCCAAGGAGCACGGGGCCATCGCCAGGTCTCAGTCCTCGGCATCCATCCTCCCGCCCGACCCAGCCAGTCTTCCTGCCCCTCGCCTTTTACCAGCTGCGTACAATCTTCACTGCACTTTTTCCAGTTCCCAGGAGGGGAAGCACAGGGTCCACACTTAACGTCACTGTATTCCCAGTGACTGACTTGGAAAACCATCCAGCCCTGCTGTTTGATTCTCAGTGGAAGTAGACAGCCTACTCATGACCATGATTTTAACTTGCTTTGACCAGTGAGTAGCCACTTCCCCCGCCCCCCCGCCCCGTTAGCGCCTGACTTCCTCTGGGGTCTTCCTCACTCCCGGCTGCAGAGAGGCAGCCGAAGGTGGCCTGCCCTGGACCCCGGGTGTCTGCACTGGTCCCCGGGCGTCCCGCACTGGTCCCCGGACGACGTCCCGCACTGGTCCCCGGGCGTCCCGCACTGGTCCCCGGGCGTCCCGCACTAGTCCCAGGCGTCCCGCACCAGTCCCTGGGCGTCTGCCCTGGTCCCTGGGCGTCCCGCACTGGTCCCCGGGCGCCCCGCACTGGTCCCCGGGTGTCCCGCACTGGTCCCCGGGCGTCCCCGGGCGTCCCGCACTAGTCCCCGGGTGCCTGCCCTGGTCCCCGGGCGTCCCGCACCAGTCCCCGGGCGCCCCGCACTGGTCCCCGGGTGTCTGCACCGGTCCCCGGGCGCCCCGCACTGGTCCCCGGGCGCCTGCCCTGGTCCCCGGGCGTCCCGCACTGGTCCCCGGGCGCCTGCCCTGGTCCCCGGGCGTCCCGCACTGGTCCCCGGGCGTCCCGCACTGGTCCCCGGGCGTCCCGCACTGGTCCCCGGGCGCCCCGCACTGGTCCCCGGGCGTCCGCACTGGTCCCCGGGCATCCGCACTGGTCCCCGGGTGTCTGCCCTGGTCCCCGGGCATCCGCACTGGTCCCCGGGTGTCTGCCCTGGTCCCCGGGCATCCGCACTGGTCCCCGAGCATCCGCACTGGTCCCCGGGCGTCCCGCACTGGTCCCCGGGCGCCTGCCCTGGTCCCCGGGCATCCGCACCAGTCCCCGGGCACCTGCCCTGGTCCCCGGGCATCCGCACTGGTCCCCGGGCGTCCCGCACTGGTCCCCGGGCGTCTGCCCTGGTCCCCGGGCATCCGCACTGGTCCCCGGGCGTCTGCCCTGGTCCCCGGGCATCCGCACTGGTCCCCGGGCGTCCCGCACTGGTCCCCGGGCGTCCCGCACCGGTCCCCGGGCATCCGCATTGGTCCCCGGGCGTCCCGCACCGGTCCCCGGGCGCCCCGCACTGGTCCCCGAGCATCTGCACCGGTCCCCGGGCGCCCCGCACCGGTCCCCGGGCGCCCCGCACTGGTCCCCGAGCATCTGCACTGGTCCCCGGGCGCCCCGCACCGGTCCCCGGGCGTCCCGCACTGGTCCCCGGGTGTGGCACTGCCCTGCTGTGTGGTACTGCCCTGCCAGGCTCCTGCATGGAGATGTGTGGCTCTTGGGCTTCCGGGCCTCCCTCGGTGAGCGCCTTCTCCAGGTGTCCTGCTGACACGTGGCGGGGTGCTCTCTGGTGCATGCAGCCCAGACATGTGACGGAGTCGGGGTGGTGTCTACCGGGTCTCCAGTGGCACAGGACTCCAGTACTGCCCTGCACTGCCATACTTCCCCACCCACAGCTGGGTGCCACTCACTGCCCGTGGGCACCCGAGTCAGCGTGATTTTACACCCACAGCTGGGTGCCACTCACTGCCCGTGGGCCCCCGAATCAGCGTGATTTTACACCCACAGCTGGGTTACCCCGTCACGGCCCATGGACACCCGAGTCAGCGTGATCTCACAGCACAGGCACAGGCGGTGAGCTGGGAAAGCCACGCCCCGCAGAACGCCCCACGCGCCCTTCAGTGCTCACGGAGCCCCAGCTCTCAGTGAGGGAAGAAGACGCGGGGAAGAGACGTGCACTCACGTCACACGTCACCGCAGGGCGCAGGGTTTAACCCAATGGGCGCCATTCTCACTCAAGTGAGAAGCACACACAAAGAATACAGTTGGCTAGAGAGTAACACAACCAATTTAGAAAACAGTCATGGCCTGTGGACTTACCTCAGGGCCAACAATCACCAGGTAAACACCGGGCTCCTCCTCATGCCATTCTTGAAAAGGAGAAAACAAAACTTCTAAAGTGGGTTTTTAAAACTTTAAAAACATATCTGGGAAAACAGCTAAGTTTAACATAAATTATTCTATAACGTAAACTATCTCAGATCATTATGGCTTCATCCCTGTTATTAGCCAATATAAGTTGTACTTATTTGGAATTTAAATATTTGACACTTTACACTATTAAATGATATTTTCCCCCCTAGAATGTGACACGTTATCTGGATTTCTAATACACTGCACTGTCACTGAAACCTAATCTGGGCTCCGGGACAGATAAACAGGAGTACATGCCATCAGTTTAAGCTACGAAGCCAGACCACAGGCATATCCTAGACAGGAGTGTGTATGCGATACTTCCAGATAAAACTCTTTCAGCCTTATAAGTTATGTGCGATTTTTATGATGTCCTCCGGACCTAAAGGACACACAGGCAAGCGGAAAACAACACTGAAATTACTATGCTGAGATATTAATCCCATAAATTATCTTTTTGGTTGTTTCCACAGCAACAATCTAGAAGTCCCGCTCTGGTGTAAGCTTGAAGCCCTGAAAACAGACAGTGACACTGCCAGCCATCTCTAAACAGAATCCAGCGGTGAGGAGGGGTGGCCCATACCAGAAAATGCGTCCACCAAGAACAGAGGGTCTTTCACTTGCCGAAGTCCGCAGATCAGGAGGAAAACCCGCAGCTTGTCAGCGCTTTGGTTGATCTCTGTCACAAAAGAGGAGAGGACACGTTAGCGGGGAGTATACCGCTGGCCCTCACCGCACGAGGCCACCAGAGGTGGCACCGCACCACCGCGGGAGACCCCCGGCTCCCTAACAGAACTTTCTACTCCTGGCAGGCACCCCAACCTGCCAACTGTGAATCGGGTTCCTCCTGGAGGGCAAACCCGAGCTCTGCCCAGCCTGTGAAGTCCACGCTGCTGCTGTGAAAACGAGGAGGGATGAGGCCAGGGACCGACCACCCAGCCATGCGGGAGATGCAAGCCAGAGGCCCCGGGGTACCTGCACACAGTACCAGTGGGGAGCAACATCTTCTTGAGGAGAGTGGCTTATGTATTCATGTACTTGAGAATTCAGGTATGCCTGTCTACGTGAATGTGTGTCCAGAGGCATCCAGTCACCAAGCAGGACACCTCACCCAGCTGGTTTTGATTTGTCCATTAGATCTCTTTGTCTCTGGAAAAAGTTTTCTTTCTGTTTCTCTCCACCCACTTTCTCTTCTGTCCTCTCTAGCTCTCTCTCTTTCCCTCCTTCCCACCCTCCCCTCCTCTCTCTTTCTCTTTCCCTCTCTGTCCAGAAAGGCTTACCTGGCCACACAGTGAGGTGTGAGGAGTAGCTTAGGATATTCACTCCTGACAACTCTTTCCACTGGTAAGTGGGGCTGCCAGCTCTACCCCTGGCCTCAGGGCTGACCCGGGACTGCACTCTGACCCTCACTGGTGGGGCCTCTCGGGCCTGTGTGTGAGCTCAGAGCATGTGTGCAGCAGGCAGGCACTGCCCGTGGAACCTCAGAGCAACAAAACTGTCCACTCCACATCACTGGCCTCAGAGCAACAAAACTGTCCACTCCACATCACTGGCCTCAGAGCAACAAAACTGTCCACTCCACATCACTGGCTAAGTTTTGGAAAGCCAGTAAATCTCCTGGTGGTTTATTAGACCTCCACAGACAACTGGCTCAATGGTGGTTATTAATACACGTGACACATGCTCATCTAAAACTTCAGAATCCACAATCGGTGTCATTGGCCATAAAAAGAAGCAAGTTCAAGATGGTCTTGCCCAGGATAAGCCTTTAATGCAAACAGCCTCCTTTCCTTTTGCTTCTGTAAATCTTGAGTAAAAATTTAATTACTCTGTCTGATTATAATAAGGTACAGTGACACCAGATAATCTTAAAAACCAATACCCAATTTGCTCTGTAGAAAACCTTTACTGACATGCTGAGCTATTCCTCATAGCACCACACACACACACACACACACACACACACACTTGACAATCTTGCTGAGATGTCTTTAATCCAAGCCTGAATGATCACTTTTGTGACCTAATCTCTGAACTAGATACTATGTGCAGAACGTGAACTCGAGGTCAGAGAATCTGGTCAGGTCTGGGACTCTGAGGTGCGAAGACAACTCTTCTTCTCTTTAATAAATCATATTCTGCTCTTCAATAAAAGCTAAAGCCAGGCACCAGTGGCTCACACCTATCACCCTAGCTACTCGGAAGGCTGAGTTCTGAGGATCATGGTTCAAAACCAGCCTGGACAGGAAAGTCCGTGAGACTCTTATCTCCAATTAACCACCAGAAAAATGGAAGTGGCTCTGTGGCTCAAAGTGGTACAACATTAGCCTTGAGTAAAAGAGCTCAGGGATAGCACCCAGACCCTGAGTTCAAGCCCTACAACTGACAAAAAAATCCAAGGAGAGAGGGGTTGGGTATGAGAAATGTCCACATTCCCAGGCAAGAACCAGTCTGATGAGGACAGAGACATAGAGCACCTTTGCCAGAAGGATGTATCGCCTACAAAGTAAACAACACCATGTATGGAGAAAACAGAAGACACCACCTTAATTAAGATCAGAGACCCCAGCCTGGCATGCAGGACCTAGGTGCACACGCATACATGCATACACATATGTATGCGTGCACGGTCCATCTAGTCACAAAAATCTGTGTGCCTCCAAGCGAGGTGGTTAAGACATGGTGCCCTTGGTCACACTTCTGATCTGGTGGGACACCTGTGCACACAGGAGCAAGAGGAAAAGAAGGAAGGCTCTCCAAAGACAAAGCAGACACGCGCACCACTGAAGGAGGGGTGTAAAAGAGCCAAACACCTGACCCCAGGAATGACCCGGGAGCTGCAGCCGAGCACAGCTCTGTGTCGCTGCGATGTGACAGGCACGGGCTGAGGACTGCGTGGAGACGTGCGCCCTGGTGAGGTCTGGGCGCAGCCTGGCCCTGCTCCCTCCGGGTCCTGAGTCCTTGCAAAGGCCCCGAGTCGGAGGCTGATCCCCAGGGCGCGGCCCCTGCCTAGAGGTGAGATGCTGTGTGTAGCACAGGAAATGGGTTCTGTCTGGGAGTGGGTGCCGAGCCGGGAGGGGAAGTGAAAGGAAGAGGAAGGTACTTTATACACACGTGTGCAAATGGAACAATACAACCTGTCGAGAAGGGGGAAGATAAATGAGAAAGAGGGAAGGAGGGTGAATTTGATAGGGGTACACTGTATGCCCGCGTGGAAACATCACGGTGACATGAAACTCCGTTGTCCAACTAATACGTGTAAATAAGAAACGGGAGGGGAATGCTTTCGTCTCTGCAAAGCACTGTGATGTTTCTAGTCTGTTTCATTTCAGTTTTTTAGAGTGCTCATCCTTAGCTCTAAATTGATTCTGAGGCTGCTGGCCCAGAAGGGGACAGAGCTAATTCTCTACGCCCTGCCTCTTTCCCATCTTCTTCCCGGGCAGGAGAGTAAATGTCATGGGAATTCAGGAAATTAAATTAGAGAGTGACAGAACAAAGCGCCAGATGCCTGGTCTTATTCTAGGATTTAAGAAAAATACAATGCTGCCACAGCAGTTGGAGTCGAGTGTCTTTTGTGCACTTGTTGGGGACACAAGGGTTGTTCTCACAGACAGGAAGGACACGCTTGACCGCAGGCCCGCCCCACCTAGGCAGCAACTACAGTGTATGGTAGCCTAGACGCCACACAGCCCCCAGCCACCTTGTGAGGTGCTGCATCCACTTGTGGATTTTAAAGAGAGACAGGGGAGACTGAGGAGAGGGGTGGCATCCACAGAGAGGCGCTGTCCTCACAAACCGAGGAACCCCCCCTCCGTGGACAATTACTTACAGAGTTTTTCAAATGTAGATAAAAACAAAAAAGGGGGCTGGGAAGGTGGCTCAGTGGTAGAGCACTTGCCTTGCATGCCTGAGGCCCTGGGTTCGATTCCTCAGCACCACATAAGCAAAAAGAAAAAAGCCGGAAGTGGCGCCGTGGCTCAAGTGGTAGAGCGCTAGCCTTGAGCTGAAGAGCTGAGGGACAGCGCCCAGGCCCAGAGTTCAGGCCCCACGACTGGACCCAAAAAAAAATTAAAAACAAAAACAAAAAGAACCTAAACAGATGCACTGCTACCTCTGCTGGGAGTCGAGGTTGGTATCCGCCTTGTGTTTCTGTGAACTCTGCTCCTTGTTTTAATTCAGTACCCACTTTTTATTGTCTATGTTTTCCCTAGTACTCAGGTGAGATGTGAGTCAAGGCGTGAGCTCATCACTTACAAACACACACATTTATGTGTCTTTCCGATAACATCGTTTCCTGCAGAATCGTGTTTTTATTCATTGTTGTGTTCTGGCACCACCTGACTAAACATGGCCCTGTCTGAACCTTAGTGAGATGTGTCAAGGGCTGGTGACAGAGGCCCCCTCCATCTTCCACCTTCCAGTCCCCGGACTCTGCTCCAAATTCTCTTTCTATTCTTCACATGCATGAGAAGAAAGGTATTCAAGCACTTCAGTCAAGCATGTTAGGTTTAGTAAATCTTAGCTGGAAAGTCTGATTCTGTGCTGGTGTAGAACAAAGAGTTACCAGCTACTAGTAACCCCCACCTTGCATCTGAAACACAAGTGACTTTTCTTATAGCCAGGAGGAGAGAAAAATGAAAGCAGGAGTTAGGATCTCCAGAGAAAAACACAAGTGGAGATTTAATAAAGAAAGGCAGAGACAGGGAGAGAGACAGAGATGGGGCTATAAATAAACAAGTAATAGAGAAGTAAAATAAAATGGAAAGCACTCAAAAAAAAATGCCCAGGACATATGGTCCAGTCTGAATTAAGTGCTCTTCTTCCCCAGGTTTTGGTTGGATGGTCTGCAAGGATCATTACTTAGAAGTGTCAGTCATGGGGATTTACAAGCAGAAACTGTGGAATACTGAATCATAATAACATTTTTACCTGTATCTACAACTGCAGAGAAAAACCACAAAGGCCAGGGCAGTCACTTGACTTCTATATCTGTATCTTCCTATCAGAATAAATGTCGTAAACATCCCATGAAAAAGCAATGCCACTTACCGCATTTAATTCACTCCGTTCTTTGTCTGTCCTTGGCTGACCTGTCTGAACACGGACGCTTGCAAGCCTGAAGCTGGGTCCATGTTATAAACGAAAGGAAACCCACTGGCTGGCTGGGGTTCAGAGGCATGACGGGGCTTTGTCGGATGAGGGAGCATGCCGCAAAGCCTTGTCACCAGACATCCAGGAAGCAGAGCACAAAGCCGCATGACCGATGGGCTTCCCGGCTACTGAGATGGAGTGTTTGAGGAGAGCCCCCTCCCTTCTCCTGATGTACGGATGGGAGGAACGGTTCACAGAGCTCAGAGGCATCTCCCCACGAACATTCTGTCATCAAGATCCCATGCTCCGGAGGCCACGTAAGATGGAGTAGGGATGATGAGGACAGTCCATCCCCAGAGCCCACAACACGACGAAGACAAAGGACCAAACAAATGAGGACCGATGCCCGAGCATAAAGCCCAGAGACACAGACGAATGCTACAGCTCCCCTAGGGCCTCCTCTCCACAGCCAGCCACCGGCCACTGCCACAGGCTCTCTTGCTACGTTCATGACTTCTCACTGCACCACATTAAGCCGGAGCCCAGTGGGTCTCCTGAGGAGTATGTAAAAGCCCTTCGCTGTTCTGTTAATTTGCTCAGCAGCAAGACCAGACATTAGCCATGGGTGGACAGAATTTGGTGTCAACCCTTGTGCTTTTGGAAATGATGGGTCTCACTTGGGCTGCAATTGTGTCCTGTGATAGATTGGGGATGAAGTAACTTTACAGCGGGCGATTTACAGAGGGCCCCTGGTCCTGAGCAATGGCATGCGCGCTGACGTGATGGAGCGATCGGAGCGCGTGGGTCATTTGTAAGGCCGCTGTCACTGGCATTGATGAACACACCACGAAAATTATTTCAATAAAAGGCTTGGAGATTTTTCTTTTCAAGGAAAACGAATGCTGACATCCATCGTTTGAAGTGTCTGCAATGAAAGCAGGCTTCCAGGCATGTCTGCGTGTTGCTTTGCATTTGTAGGCTCTTCTGGGAAGATTGTCGCAAGACCTGCAACTTGGGCTGAAGGCCCAACCCTCTGCCCGGCGCTCCGGGCGGGCACCACTGGGGAAGCATGTTTTGGTGTAGACAGAATCCTCATGCTTCCAGCTCCATGTGCAAAGCCAACTTTACCTGTTCTGGCATCTTGGCTCAGAATTAACTAGGTTGGACACCTGAATGGAAGCTGCAATCTTAAAGAATACACACTGTGGAACTCATTCGTGGTAAACCAAACATCCTAGATTCAAGGACTTTAGGCAGGAAAATGCTATGTGAGCTAAGCTTACACATTATGAGAAGCCACTCTGTGAGATGCCCTCAGCTCTACTACAGGCCGGGGACCGCCCTCTCCCCACCGCCGATGAACTGGGGACCAGTGCCGCGGGAGGCCACCCAAAGGGGAGGATCTTTCAAGATGCTGAGAGTTGTGGTTAAGACCACAGTCTCAGGTGGGGATGCTGGTGTGCGGAATTCCTCCTAAGGAAAGAACTGGGCACTGTGTGAAGTTTACAGCCCTACCATTGCCGGCAGTGCACGCGAAAGTGCTGTAAAAACTTACATGTCCAGCCAGGGACAGAGGGCTAATGTGTTTGTAATATTCGAAAGAATACTGCAAAAGAATTAAAACTCACAGTATAAACAGAGGCACGAAGGTTCTATGTGAAGATGACGATTACAAAGTAATTAAGATGTCATTAAATGGACAGGTAGGTCACAGTCAGAGAGTTTTAAGATATCATTCTGTTAAGATGTCAGCTCTCTCTAAATTAATCTCTAGATTCAATACAACAGGACTTTACAGACACTGATGAGATGATCCTAAAATCTGTATGGACATGCCACAAATCTGTAACAGCTATTGTGTTTTGACTAACAAATCACTTGATTTCTAGACTTACTGAAGCCTATGTCAACAGGGCAGTTAATATTTGCATAAAGACCAATCAATTGACATACCAGCAAAACTCACACATAGTAAATTAAATTTTCAGTAAAGGTAATTCAATGGAAAAGAATACTTTCAATAAATAACAGTGGAGTAGTGGGACATAAGAATGAATAAATTCTTACCTCACACCCACACAAAAATTAATTTCAGGTAACTTTAACTGAAAGCATTAAAAATGATAAAACTCTGGAAGGAGAAAAAAAAGGAAGAACATCTTTGCAACTTTAGGTAGTGGAAGATTTCGAAGTACCCCTTACCTGAACGCTGGAGAAACTCCTTCCAGTTGAAGGCAGGGTTGGGTGTGGCTGCAATTCCTGGGGTAAAGAACCAGAAAAGGCAAGAGTCACCGGTCACCCTGCTTCCAAGCTTGGGTTCTTAGCAAGCTACTCAGGGCCCAAGGGCTTCACTCGGGTCCCATGGCCCCAAGCCAGGGAGCGGAGCTGAGGTACAGCCTGTGGCTCATGTAAACAGCTGCCGGCTCAGCCCCCCGCTGTCCAGGTCTCCAGCATATCATCACGGAAAGGGGTTCTGCAGTATCCACCACTACACAAGCTCTGGCTCACACCCTTGCTCACCGCCCCACCTAACAACTTCCATCTTCATCTAGATTCCCTAACCTCCTTCACCAAATCCCCACCATCATCTATTCTCTGTCCTCAGATGGGTTCATTAGGTTTCTCCAGAGCTAGGACTGGAACCCAAGGCCTTGCGCGTGCCAGGCAAGTGCCCTACTACTGAGCTCCATCCCCAGTCCAAATTTCAATTTTTCAAAACTTAAGAAAATTCAAGGCAGGTGCCGGTGGCTCACACCTGTATCCCAGCTACTCAGGAGGCTGAGAAGTCCCATGAGACCCTCCTTTCCAATTAACCTCCACAAAACCCAGAAGTGGTGCTGTGGCTCCAAGTGGAAGGTTTGAGTGCTAGCCTGGAGCAAAAAGAACTCGGGGACAGCACCCAGGCCCTGAACCGCGCACCGTTCTGGGCTCACCTAGGCTTAGGATTGGTCACATGCCCTTCTCTGGGCCTCGCCTTCCACTCTGACACACAGTTCCGGTTTGCAAGAGCAAGTGGAGCTGGGTAAGAGAGTGTCTGGGTAAGAGAGCCAGGTGCCACACCCTGGCAGGGGGGTGAGAAGAGATCGGGTACCCTCAGGCAAGCCAGCTTAGAAGTGCTCAGCACGTTGCCCTGTTTGTTCAGTGAAGGGTACTGGGATGGAGTATGCTGTGCTTCTATTGGTGAAAAGTGTTAAGTGACTAGCATTAACTTATTCGTGAGTGTGTGTGTGTGTGTGTGTGTGTGTGTGTGTGTGTGTGTGTGTGTGTGTATACTTGTACTGGGAGCTTGAACTCAGGGCTTTTCCCTCTTGCTGAGCTTTTATCACTTGAGGCTGGCACTTTAGTGTTTGAGCCATGCCTCCACTTCTAGTTTTTTGCTGGGTATTCAGACATAAAAGTCTCTAGGATTTGTTTGTCTATAGATCATGATCCTCAGCTCTTAGCCTCCTGAGTAGCTAGGATTACAGATGTGAACACAGGTGCCCAGTAATTATTCTTTTATAATTTGTCCCATGCATCTTTTATTCTAATGTTAGAAATCAATGAGAAAATGTATGCATTCTAAGTAAATACCAGAAATCATTGTATGTCATGAGTAAACATTTCAGAATATATCACTTAAAGTATATACACACGTATATATATACATATACACACACACACACACACACACACACACACACACATTTTTTTAAATTGAATCTTTACCTTGGCTCTGGACATAGATTTTCCCGGTTGCATGAGGCTTTTGAAAAGAAGGAAGAAAGAAAAAGTAAATTTGATGGTCTATTTTATGCTTTTTAGAGATGAAAGTCACTAAATTTCTGTTGGAAAACATTTACAAGTTATTGACATACTGCTCACACCTTTAAGAGCACAGGTTTACTCCTGCTGTTAGCAGACTTTGCTATGATAAACAAAGCATCGGTAAGATAAAAAGCACAAAGAGAAAGACATCCCTGAAATGAGACTGATGCTGGTTTAACATTCTGCTATGATAGTTTCTGAAGCTGGAGAATGGGCAGAGCCACTGGGCAGCTGATGTCCTGAGTTCTGGGAGCAATGAACACCCTTGAATGGAGAAGAGAATCCCCCAGCCATTAGGGTAGAGGGAGAAAGGAAGAGGGAGAAAAGGAGGAAAGTCAGACAAAGAAAAAGGGAGGGAGAAAAGAAGGGAAAGAATGAAAGAGGGAGGGTCGTGGGAAGAAAGGGGGCCCTGAAGGGCACTAGGGGGCAGGTTCCCTGTACCAAGAGTTTCAGGCAGTGGTGAGGCCCTGTGCCAGGGTGGGTTTCAGGCAGCGCTGCTGCTCCGACACCTCCAACGTCCAGGGTAGAAGCTACCTTTGCACTGACCTTGTAGGCATCTGTTCCAAGATACCAACCCACTATTCCTTGTGTGAACTGTTGCAAAACTACTCAAAAGAATCTATTTCTCCAGTTCACTGAGAAATGGTGGCAGAAGGTTTCGGCATCAAGATGAGACAGGACGCGGAGGCCCCTGGGAACAGAGAGCCACAGCTCCACAGGGATCGACCACGTGGCTGCCATTCAGTGCTGAAGGACCGCTCCCTGGCTGCCAACACTGACCAAGCCCCAAACGTGCACCCTGTTCTGCGGCCTGTACTCAAGATGAATGTGGGAATGAGTAACTTAGCTAGACACCCGACGTCACCGCAGCACAGCCCTGTCCTGTGGGGCGACAGGCCGTGCCACCACCCGGAGGGCAACATGGCCGTGTCACTGCAAGCAGGGGGGCTGTGCCCCTGGTCCCCAAGCCAGTCCTCCAGTTTGGGGACCAAGCTGGGGTGAAGAGGCCTGGGGCAAGGCAGGGAAGGCATGGGAAGGGAGGGCAGCCCTGGCCTGGCCCCATGGTGGAAGGTCTGGGGAGTGTAGCTTCCAAGCTGGGGCCTGCAATGCACTGGCTCAGTTGGTTTGGTTTTGCTCTCTGCATCCCATGTCATATCTCACCCCCAAACTAGAGACCCCCAACACCTGTCCCTCTCAAGAGTACCATGCAGTAGATGGGCCATGCAGATGCCCTTGAGTAGCAAATCATAGGAAATGAGCTGCAAACTGCCTTTCCCTTCTAGTTTAAAAATAAAATGCCAGTAAAGGAGGAGGTAACAACGTTCCATAGGAAATGTACTCGTTACTTACTCATGTAACTGTAACCACTCTGTACAGTGCTTCTACAATGAAAAACAAACACAAAGACAAAAACCCCGGCAGCTTCCACGGGGAAAATGGCCTTGGCGACCAGTGGAAGCTGAGGCTGGCAGACCCCCTCCTCCCTCTGGCAGGAAGCTGAGCAGAGCCACGCAAGGGCAAGCATCTCAGAATGTCTGTGGCTGAGGTGCTGGACAGAGGCCTGTGCACAAACGTGCTGAGCCCACAGAGATCCTACCAGAAGGCTTTGAAGCCTGGGGGAGGCATGAGGCTGACACACCAGAGAAACTTGATTCTGGAAGGTGAGGCAGAAATGAGCTAGAATCTGGCCTTTGTCCTTAGAAAGACACATGGCAACTAGAAATACATAAACTCAGAGTGCTCCTGTCACAAAAATTCCTTTCCTCATTAAAAAAATTCATTAAACTGTTATCTCAACTCCAAAACCAGAAGGAAGTGACTGTACGTGAAGACCTGTGGGTTTACCGTCTCCTCTTCACCTGTCAGTGGTACCTTGCTAAATTTTAACGAAAGCCTGGGAAGTAAGGGTCCAGTCTCATAGACTTCTAAAGCGTGCCACCGACAATACTGTAAGAGCTCCCCTGAGCAAGTAAAAAAAACAGAGGTACTATATAGAAGAAATCTAGACCGGGTTTTTCTTAAATGATGTACTACAAGAAATCTGGCAAAAGCAAATTAGCTTGTATTGATTTTGGAAATCATGTTCTGTATTACAGCGTTACACATACAAACAGTTTTCTTTGCTCAATATTTCTTGCTCCATTTGCTCTGAGCTAGCAGGAGTCCATGTTCTGTGTATAACTATTTGCTTTGCTAAATTATCTCATTGATACGTAAAATCAAAAAACAAAATTAAAAAGGAGCTCAGCACCGGTGGCTCATGCCTGTCATCCTAGCTACTCAGGAGGCTGAGATCTGAGGCTGCGGTTCAAAGCCAGCCTGGGCAGGAAAGTCCTCGAGACTCTTATCTCCAATGAACCACCAGAAAACTGGAAGTGGCGCTGTGGCTCAAGTGGTAGAGCACTAGCCTTGAGCTGAAGCGCTGAGGGACAGCGCCCAGGCCCAGGGTTCAAGCCCCACCAAAAAAAAAAAAAAAAAAAAAGACTGAATGAATTTGAAGGTGTATGAAGTTAGATCATGTGACCCCATTATTAAGTATTTAAAGCCAGAACCCCATTGGATAGATGCTTGTAAACAGGTATGGCTTTGTAAGAAACCCAAATGCTAATTGGTACATTTTTATAATAAAAGAACAGACAACAGCAACCAAAATAACACAGAAGCTCATCTTCTGAGGTTACACTATGCAAATGAAAACCACGACAGATTATTACTTTTGTAATAGGAGCACAACCTGGTACTGTGTAGGCAACAAATGAATGATACATTTTCTTTGAAGTTACAATATAGCTTTTGATTTTAGCTTTGTAAAACAATTACAAACTGCTTCAAAGAAATCATGGCTCATACCTACAATGCTCACAATATAGGTCTGTGACATAGATTAGATATAAATTGGGAATGTCTCATGGGCTACAGCGTCCTTTTTTTTTCTTTCTCTCTTTGTTCTTTTTCTCTTAAAAAATATGTTACCAAGCAAGGAAAGAAAGCAATATTCAAAAAGAAGGGGTAAGGGAGACACAACCCTGCCTCTGAGCTGGACCACCGAAAAGTCACAAAAACGCCCGTGGGGGCATGATGGTGCCAACATCAGGAGAGGAGATGGGGGACGGCCCACCCTGGACGAAGCCCAGGCCAGGGTGCACCCCCACTAGGGGTTTCCGTCCTTCCAACAACTTCGTCTCAGTTGAAGAGATGCTGGGAAGCTTCCCACCCTCCTGAAGCCACCTGCCCAAGGTGAGGCCAGGCTCCCAGCTCACCCAGGCGGGAGCCCAGGTCACGGGACAGGAGCGCTCAGAAGCTCTGCCATTCCTCATTCTGGCAAGGTTTCTTTAAGACATCTCAATTCTCAGGGACCAAACACAGGGGGAAAAGTACACAGCATGTACATTTCTGAAGAAACCCAAGTACAGGCCATCCTAACTAAAGATATCATGAATGTGATACGCTTCCAAGATATTGCTGGGCAGAGCAGGTGGGGCTCTGTGTGAAGCCAGCCCACCAATCGGGCAGCCTGAAGAACCCCACATCACAGAAAATCAGATCAGAGGTGTGTGGTGCAGTTACAGCTGCTATCGTCCAGATGATCTGCAGAGACAGCCAGACAGAAGGCGGTGGCCAGGGAGAAAGGAGGATTGCTTTCCTGCCGCAACTGGGGAGTTGTGAACACCCCCACGGACTTGCTGAGCTCACCTGCAGGGTGAACTCTGCCCATGGCCACCACTGAAATCTGTCTTGCTTTCTATGTTTTAACTTCCAAAGAATTTTGATGAGCATACACATATGCTGAAAATAAAACTGAAGAGTTGCCCAATACAACTACCTTAAGAATGGCATGATTTTTCTTTACAAGGTGGAGAAGAGTAAGCCCCAGAGGGCACTGACTCAAATAGAAAGGACGGCAAATGCAGTCACTGCATTCAATGTATACTACATAAAATATGAGCTATGTAACTCGTGGGAAAAGGCGGGAAGGGGAAAAATGAGATAAAATTTAAAAAGAGAGAAAATACTAAAAAGATAACAGTAAGTGATTCACCTCAATGCCCCGAGCACGGTGTGCCCCCCAGAGCACGGTGTGCCCCCCAGAGCACGGTGTACCCCCTGCCCCTCAGCCCCCCAGAGCACAGTGTACCCCCTGCCCCTCAGCCCCGAGCACGGTGTGCCCCCCAGAGCACGGTGTGCCCCCTGCCCCTCAGCCCCCCAGAGCACAGTGTACCCCCTGCCCCTCAGCCCCCCAGAGCACGGTGTACCCCCTGCCCCTCAGCCCCGAGCACGGTGTGCCCCCCAGAGCACGGTGTGCCCCCTGCCCCTCAGCCCCCCAGAGCACAGTGTACCCCCTGCCCCTCAGCCCCCCAGAGCACGGTGTGCCCCCTGCCCCTCAGCCCCCCAGAGCACAGTGTACCCCCTGCCCCTCAGCCCCCCAGAGCACGGTGTGCCCCCTGCCCCTCAGCCCCGAGCACGGTGTGCCCCCCAGAGCACGGTGTGCCCCCTGCCCCTCAGCCCCCCAGAGCACAGTGTACCCCCTGCCCCTCAGCCCCCCAGAGCACGGTGTGCCCCCTGCCCCTCAGCCCCCCAGAGCACAGTGTACCCCCTGCCCCTCAGCCCCCCAGAGCACAGTGTACCCCCTGCCCCTCAGCCCCCCAGAGCACGGTGTACCCCCTGCCCCTCAGCCCCCCAGAGCATGGTGTGCCCCTGCCTCTCACCATGCTTCTTTCAATGTCATAACCACTCTAAGCAGTAATCACTCCTTTGTGATTTTAAGAATTTCCTAGATTGATTCTTGGATTTAGAGAATTAGGTAAGGTTGGAGGGTTTTGAACAAAATAGGGGCTTGTGGTGGGACAAAGAGCAGCCATTGACACACACAAGTTAATTATTATCATTGTTATTATTTTGGTAAAAATGTTTACATTTCCTAGAAAAAGCCTGGTGAATTCAGAGAAAGCGTTCTAAGCTTGGAGCGGACCTGGGGGAAAGTAGCCACACTTTGAATACAGTAGCAGGCGCGTCTATTACAGAGAGTAACAAGAAACTGAAAGCCTGAGTTACTGTGCTTCCTAAATCTCTACATGCACACCTCACAGTGGGAAAGGAGCAGTACACAACCCCACAAAGCAAGAGAGCAGTGCTTCCAGAAGCACAACAGGAGTGACAGACACACAGCCAGCAGCGTGGCGCTGGCCGGGGCAAAAGCCTAGGACTGGTCCACCACAAAGCAGGTAGGCTGTCAAGTTAGGGCCAATAAGAACAGCAATAAAAAATAATGACTTGGGCCTCAATAAATGCAGCTCAAATTAAAAGAGCTGATGTAAACCTATCTTTATTGAAATCCAATCAAACTAATTTGTGTAGAGCCAGTCAGCCACTAGCAGAAGACCAAGTAGCCCCCCCAGGATGCCTGGCCTCCTCAGGGCTGAAGCCGACCCGTGGGGTAGAGCAGCCCTCACCCGGCCCGCTGCTGTCACTGCGTCTCCTGGGACGGCGTGCTGTTTGAGCAAGTGTTTCAGACGCCCTGGACCGGCTCCCTTCAAGGGCGGGTGCATGGCTACAGTGCAGGAGGACACCGAGTACCTGGAGCGTGGAAGGGGGCTCTGCGGGCAGAAGCTACACGCGGAGTCCTGGACACAGTGGGTGCATTGTAAAGAACTTGGCCCTGTGGCTTCGCTGGCAGCGGTGATTCTCGCAGGAATGTCCCTGTCTAGACCTCGGCCAGGACCAGACACACCCAATCAATCTTCCCAGGGTTGGAGTTGGCCAAACCAGAAAGACCAGACTCAGGATTCATGGTAGGAATGTTGGACCAAGTAGTGTCAGCCTGCCTACAACTACTGAATAGTCACACCTACACACAGAAACCATCAGCCACGCCGACACACAGCATCAGTCACACATAGAAACCCCAATAAAAACTGGGAACACTGAACATAGTCAGCATCCCTGAGGCTGAGCACACTCCACAGGCTCCTCCCTGGACATCCCAGCCTCTGGTGGACTTTATTTATTTTTTGGTAGGGGGTCCGGTCGTGGGGCCTGAACTCTGGGCCTGGGCACTGTCCCTCAGCTCTTCATCTCAAGGCTAGCACTCTACCACTTGAGCCACAGCACCACTTCCAGCTTTTTTTTTAAATCTGCTTATGTGCTGCTGAGGAATTGAACCCAGGGCCTCATCCATGCAAGGCAAGCGCTCTACCACTGAGCCACCTTCCCAGCCCCCTCTGGTGGACTTTAGTGTGGGTTCTTTCCTAGAAGGAACCAGGCCCTGAGTCCTGAGTCCCTCCTGATAGGGGTGTGGCCTGTGGCCACAGCTGGGGTCCACGGGAAGGCCTTCTCAGAACTATACTCCACGGCAGCATTGTGAATGGCAGACAGGGGTTAATAAAGATACACTGAAGTTAATTTCAGTCATTGCCATGTATTTCCTTATGCAGCTGCTGGAAAGCTTTTAGTTACGCCTGTGACTCATTGTGGCTTGCGTTGTGTTTCCGTTGGCTAGTACAAGTGTTGTACGTGAAGCAGTGTGCACACTTTGTCTTCACTGAATCACCTCTTTCAAAGAAGATAAAAAAAGCACACAGGTTTCGGACTGAATATTTGTGCTCAAAAATCACATTGACCTACATAAATTCCATGTAAATATATAGTCTCACTTTTGACCTCACAAAGGCAATAAGAAGCAACTTCCACCAATCTCCTTAATAGGGGATGGTTGAAAGTTGATTCAGGTCTGATTATAACTGGGAAAAATGGACTCATCTGCACCTGTACCAAATAGGTGCTCACTAAAGTAGAAGAAAAAACTAGAATCAAAAACCGATGGTTCTATAATGAAGAGCAAAACTTAATTGCTCAAAACCTGCATCACCAGAGCATGCTGACCCCCTGGCTCTCCTTACTTCTGCAGACAGCACGGGCTCAAGGGGCTCTCCAGCGCCCTGAGAACCCCTTACCCACCCCGCTCCCTCCACCTGCCAGCACAGCATGAATAGGTAAGACAACAAGTGAACTCGTTTGCCCACGCGCTCACTGGCTGACGCTCTGGACACCCTTCGAATAAACAGTACTGCCCAAGAAATCACTTGAGCCACCCATGAGCGTGTGGCTCTCAGGTTTCTGAGTTTGCTGCAGACTTTGTAAGAAAACCTGCAACTCTTCTCACTCTGACAACTCAAAGAAAAAACACAAAATGTTAAAGGGTGGACTGTGGGTTATTCTTGGCATTCGATGATAGCACCCAAAAAGCCAAGGCAGTGAAGTTGTGAAAGTATATTACCCCCCCCTCCAAAATAAATCAGCCCATGGGAAATGCAGGCTGCTGTGCCCACACCAGGCCCGTGGCATCTAACAAGAGTGACCCTCGGCCCCCAGGTCTACCTTTCCACCATGAGGGACGGACGAACAAGGGAACACTGGGTGAGCACATACCCACTGGGCCTGCGCCTTCTCCTTCATGGACTGGGTGAAAGCCACGGCAAACCTGGCAAGTGAACAAAGACGACAGGGACAATTAGGCCAGAATTCAATCCGCAGAAGTACAAAACACCACGTGGGAACAAATTATGCGGGGCAGAAGGGTTGAGGCTCTACACTGGAGGTGCAATCAGCAAAAATGATTCTGGGTCAGTGCCCGCAAGGCTTAAATCGCTACCAACCTGAAAAAGAAATTGTGTTTGTTTTTATGATGGACCGAACTTCCTAGTTTTCTTGTTCCTTCCACTTAAGGCCAGAGAATCAGGGATAAAATCACCACCAGGACTCCAGGAAGTGGGGACATGGCTAATCTGTGGGAGCGCCCCAGGCCGGCTGTGGCCCCCGAGGCTGCCAGCACCAGGGCACGCTGCTGTGTGGGATCCACCAGATGCCTGAGGACCACAGGAGCACTCGCCCACATCTCAGTGCAGTCCCTCCAGCACACGGCTTGGCTAAAACAATGGGATGGCAATCTGTACAGAAACACGGCAATCGGGAATTGTACAAAGACACCCTCTTTACCAAACTGCCACTGGCTAGTGGAAAAGCCATCCCCCAGGGAATTGCAGCCCAGGAAGCTTGCAAGGGCAGGGCACACGGATAAACCAAAACCCGAAGAACAAGGAAACGGGGACAACAAAAGAATGAAGAATTCAGAGGACAAAAGAATAAGGCAAGAAGCCCTCGGAGCAGCAGCTGGAGAGCAAGGACAGAGGAGCAGGCTTCCCCTCTGGTCACACCTCTCGCGGTCACTGCTGTCCACATGGGGGCCAGCGGACATCCAGAGCTGCTACCGCAGGGCCAAAGATGAAGAAAGCAAGGAAAGAAGAAGACAGGTGGGAGGCTGCATTCCCAGAGGGCGCCAAGGCGAGGGCTCGGGGTGGGCGGAGGCACCGGCACGGGCAGCATCTTCCTGCCCGGCACATGGATCTACCCACGCTGGTGGGCACCACACTCCTCCCTGGGCCCCTCGCTCTACCTCTCCCGAAGAGAGAACACACTGAGGGTCTAGCCCAAAGCTCCTGGGAGTTCAAAGCAAACAAAAACAATACATTTCCTACAAACAACATAAGAATATGAATTCTGGGGCTGGGAAGGTGGCTCCGTGGTAGAGCGCTTGCCTTGCAATGCATGAGGCCCTGGGCTCGATTCCTCAGCACCACATAAGCAAAAAGAAAAAAGCCGGAAGTGGCGCTGTGGCTCAAGTGGTAGAGCACTAGCCTTGAGCTGAAGAGCTGAGGGACAGCGCCCAGGCCCAGAGTTCAGGCCCCACAACTGGATCAAAAAAAAAAGAATATGAATTCTGCACTTTAGGCTGAACACTGCCACCTAAAAAGATTTATTCACTTGTCATGATGCTTGCAACATAATACAATTCAAATACAATACAATCCAAAATAGCAAATCACACAGTTCAACCAACGTGTTTACATGTTTTCCCTACAACTACTTTTAGGTACTTCATTTCATACTAACTTTTTTGTTCATTGGTTTAACCATGTTTAATTTTTTCCATGCCAGGGGTGGTGATACACACCTATAATCACAGCACTCAGAAATCTGAGGCAGGAAGATAGCAAATTCAAGGCTGGCCTTAGCTCCATACTGAGTCTCTGCCTCCAAAAATAAAAATAAAGTTTTTCCAAAATATACTTGCATGGTCCTTCACAAAATAATTCCCACAAGTTTCAGATACTCTTTCATTTTTAGAATTCCCAAGTTTTTACTATTTTATCTTACAAGCTGAAAAGCCAATGTTCAATGAAGATTACTATGATACTGTAAAGAAAAAGGCTTAACTACTGAAAAAGTTTAGATTATAAACTATCAAAAATACACTCATTTTTAAATGCATTTGATTACAAAAGGAACACTGAGCCAGGAGCTGGTGGCTCACGCCTGTCATCCCAGCTACTCAGGAGGCTGAGATCCGAGGATCGCGGTTTAGCCAACCTGGGGAGGAAAGTCTGCGAGTCTCTAATCTCCAATTAACCACCAGAAAACCAGAGTGGTACTATGGCTCAAAGTAATAGAGCGCTAGTCTTGCGTGAAACTGCTCAGGGACAGCACCCAGGGCCCTGAGTTCAAGCCCTACAACCAACCAAAAATCAAAAAAAAAAAAAAAAAAAAAAAGCTGATTGCAAAGCTAGACAAATTAAATACTTTATCTAATAGAAAGTGTGTTCTATTGTGTTGGACAAGAAATCTATGATTCATGCAACTTTCTTGCCTACTAACCTCGATCGATACCTCCAAATAAAAATCAATACTTGTTTTAATACCAATGCAATGAATAATACAAATGGAAACAGTAGAAAGCAGACTCGTTCAATGCTGTTTCTAGTAAACAGAATTACTTTCCGTCCATGAGACCGTGTATTACAAACCACGTGAATGCAAAGGCAATGAATTTTCAGAATGTAAGAACAACGCTAAGGAAAGTTGAAATGTCGGATTACCTTCCAAGGTAATGCCAAGGTGCCTTTGTCCATTGTAGTGTGCACACGTGCACACACACACCCACACAGAGCACATGTGCCTCCACTTCTGAAATGTCGTATTTCCACGGTATTTGTGTTCAGGAAATACTGAAAGAATGAAGGTCATGAAACCTGACGTGACCCTGTCATCCTAGCATTGACAGGTGAGAGTCCAACACCCGTATTACATGAGAAAGCACCACAGATGACCCAAGCCAGCCTGGAGCCCCCTCCCTGGAGTTACCCCGAGATGGAGGGGCTCCCTCCCCTGCCAGTGCCTGCCGGGGAAGGTGGCTGGTGATTTATTGCACTAGAAATGTAGCACCTGGTTTTATTCTCTTTTTACAGCGACTCAAAGAAAGGATGTTCACACCTCCTACCTCTTAGCAATAAACCATAGCGCAGTGTTCTAAGACGTCTTACTAGGGCTAAACGGCTGTAAATGTGACCGTAGAGAAGTTCATCTGAATTTGAATTCTGAGTCATTAGGCAAATATGAAATATATACGTCAGGAATGAGAAGACGCTACAGTAAAATAAATAGCTACAGCTTAATGTCCTTCCTTCTTTCTTCTTTTTTTCTTTCTAAATAAATGAAACCCCTTCTATCACTCTCCTCTCTCTCAGCCCCACCCCATCCCCTCAAGCTACCCAGTTCAATTTTCACACATGTACATTGTATACTACAACAAAGAAAGCATACAATATTAAAACCATTACTGTGAATAATAAGGTGTGATAAATGTGTTAATAATCCAGGCCATTAAGCTGGATGCTGGTGGCTCATGCCTGTAATCCAGATCTGAGGGGCTCCGATTGAGGACTGAGGATCTGAGGGTTGCCTTCTACAATATTACTTTGTTTTTGTCTGTTGCATACCAGGTTCTTTTTCTACAAGGGCATCTGAGTAGCTAATGTATAATGACATCTATGTTTCTGGAAATGCTAGTTTTTGTTGTTGTTGCTACAATTTTATAAACTTTAATGAAAAGAATACTTCGACTGAGCCTCCTGGGAAGAATGTTAAATTGTTCTGACCTAGGCCACTCATCATTTTGTTTTTTGGTTTCAGAAGTGAGTAGTGTCAGATTCCAACTTTCCTTCTGTAATAAATGTTTTCTCCAAGAAAAAAAAAAAAGAAAGGATGTTCAGTCAACACACCTGGGCACCTAGAAAAAGTTCAAGTTGCTCAGCCAGTGCCTGCCGAGATGGTCCGAGGGCTCCAACGCCCCGCACACCTGCAGAAAACTCAGCACTAGTCAGGTCCTTCATTTTGACACACATCACCTCTACTGCATTCCATTCTAATTTCCTCTTTCCCCACACAAGTGGAGAGGATTTGGATTACTATCGCCATTTTCTCCATTTTTATTGTTGAATTTGTTACACAAAGAAAATGGAGGCCTTTTTATTTTTCCTACCAAAACTTCGAATGTTCTCCAGAATGTTGAATGAGTATGTTTGTTTGTCTTTTTTTTTAGTACACCTTGTTGAAGACAGGATAGCAACTAGTTTAGTTCCAAGACCTTAGCAGCTTTTAGGAAATTCTAGACCCAGGTTACAGTGACGGCTACTGCAGGTAGCTGAGCAGAGGAAGGTGGACACAGAGATAGGAAAGGCTGACTCAGCGGGCCGGCTCCTCACAGTCACTGTCTTGATGGGGCTTGGGGAGGGGGCCTTCCTCATTATGCTGACTCGGGCTCACCAGAGCCTCCGTCTGAGGAAAGACCACCTGAGACCGTGTGAAGGCCAATGACCTGGCACTCAGCCGCAGTGTCTGCTCTAGGCTGACACAGCCTGTAGGGAGCACAGATCTGTAAGGGATTCTGGGCTGGGGTTAGAAGCACCCCACCCAGTGCTCAGCAAGGCCTAGAGGCCCATGAGGCCGTGCAGTGTCTGGAGAGTGCTGCCTGCGGCTGGCATCTGGAGGCAGGATTTACGTGGCAGCCCTACAATCTCAGGGGTTGCTGCTCTAAATGAGGAGTGGCATCTGAGAGAGGCTAGCCACCGCAGGCAGGGCAGTACTCGTGACAGGGCAGCTGTGGTCCCTGGATAGCTGGGAGCCTTAAGTAATCAGAGGAGTGAGCGAGCGGCTCTATACTTGCTGAGCACCCCTCTTGCAGATACAGAGCTGGGAGAGCTCTGCAGACCAGGGCCACGCCAACAACAGCAACCTAGTGAACCCGAGCCCCAGGTCCTAACCTGTGTGCTCACAAAGCTGGAGTTTGCCCGTGTCGTTCTTGCTTACAAGACCACAAACTTTGTCTTTAACCCTGGGAGATACCCCACCCCCACCAAGAGTGAGCAAAATAAAACTGGGTCAAATGAAATCCATTTTATGAGGTAAAATATGAACCTCCCAAACAACTCTTTCAAAGTCTGTTGCTTGCACCTCTTCCAAATGGCTCTGGCTTTTGATTTAAGACTTGGGTCTTACCTGGCTTCCTCAAGAACTTTCCCCATTACTTCATTTTTTAATTCATGGTTGGCATCTTCATTTAAATCAGTCCCTCCGAAGATGATCCCAAAGGGAATGTGATGACCTACAAAGTGATGACATTCGAGAGCAGAGGTCAACTCTGGAATCTCCTCACCAGCCTAGCTCAAGCAAAGGCTTAAAAGCTGGAGCTCCCAACACACCACAGCTGTGTGCCGTGGAGCTTAGTGCTCAGTGTTTCTGGAGATGGAGTCTCGCAGCGTAATGTGGGATGGCCTCTTCCTTTGCCTTCTGAATGCTGGGATTACAGAAGTACACCATCACACCTACTTGTGTTCTGTTGTTAACCTGACATTACCCTAACTCTCCTGAGTAGTAGAGCAGGTAGTATTGTTTGAAAAACCAAAACAAAATGAAAACAGCTAATGCTGAGATTAATCAAGGAGACACCTACCACCATTGTCAGGACTATTTTTCCAATTAAATTTGCTTTAACTTTTTTTTTTTTTGGTCAGTCGTGGAGCCTGAACTCTGGGTCTAGGTGCTGTCCCTCAGCTCTTCAGCTCGAGGCTAGCACTCTACCACTTGAGCCACAGTGCCACTTCCAGCCTTTTCTGTGTATGTGGTGCTGAGGAATGGAACCCAGGGCCTCATGCATACAAGGCAAGCGCTTTACCACTGAGCCATTTCCCAGCCCCTGCTGCTTTTAACAAGGGGAAAATCATCATCTGTCAAAGCCACACTTATTTCATTAATTTGCACTCATGGAGGTTTGTGTCAGAAAAAGGGCCTCCAAATTTAGTGCTGCTGTTTATTATCATGTCATCTGTCAGCCAAGAGGGGACAGATACGAGAGGAGATCCTGCCAGAGTCTTCCAGGTATGTACAGCACACAGAGTGAGAAATCATAGATAGATTAGGAGAGCCTGGAAAGGGGGAGAGAAGAGGGGAGGAGGAGAGAAGGGTGGGGAAGGGAGAGGAAGAGAAGGGAGGGGAGAGGAGCAGAGAGGGGACGGAGAAGAGAGGAGAGGTCTTATTTCTACCTAATAGAGACATAGCTAGACCATGAGGTTGAACTTGTTCTTACTCAGTCAGCTGACCCATCTGCTTCCTTATTACATTCAGACCTAAAGCACATTCTGAACTGAAGAGGGGAAGGCTTCATAAAAACACACCTGGCCAGCCTCACATTATCAAGGGACAATGTGGCACATTTAGTCATGGTGTAGCGTAGCTTAGTACAGCAGTGTTGAGTATCTTAGTAACAATGCAGCGTGCCTGGGTAAACCTGTAGCATACCTCAGTAACAATGTGGTGGATCTTTGTAATAGTGCAGCACTTTGGTCAGTAATGTGTAGCAAATTTTAGGTGTAGTGCTGTCTTCACTAGTTACAGAGTAACACATCTTAATTAGTTAACAGTGAAGTGCATCTTAGTATCTTCAGTACTAGGTAGCATCATGGTAATGTGTGGAGATGGTGCATTGGAGTAGCTCATCTCAGGGCACAGATGGGCTTGGGCTTGGAGTACACTGTAATGTGAGATTTTTCCTGTCCTCCTGACCACACTTTCCATAGGTCAGGCCACATTGCTTGACTTTTTTAAAAAGCCAAGTCTCAGGCTTGTTGAATATCCATAGAGAAACCCCCAGAAATAAACAAGTGAAAGTTAAACCGAAGGTAGCAAGAGTAGAAATGCTGCAGCTCAGGTGCTTGTTAGGCAGAGCAACAGCACTGACTGTCTGCGTGACAGGTTTAGAGGAGGGTTTCCTTTCTTCCCAACTCTTGGAGGACCTCAACTGAATATGGGGTGTCTGTGTTTATTTGAAGCAGAGGTCAAGAATGGTAAAACTGGGGGAAAACTACAGCAATCCCAGCACAATGAGGGGAACAGGTCCTGCTCATCAGCTAGTGCAGCCTGAACCACAGGGACCTGTGCAGACGGCAGTCTGTCGGTGACACTCAAGACAAAACCTGCACAGTCCTCCATTCCTGCACTTAACCTAGGAACGTGTGCGCAAGATCTCGCTCGATGCAGGGGATAAAGGGACTGCAGCGCTGCTTGGGACGGGCCAGCCAGGGCCTTCAGGCAGTCCTGGGGCTTCTTGCAGTGGAGTGTAGGTTGAGCCTGCCTCATCCAAAAAGGTGAAACCAAGAAACGGTCCAAAGTCTCAAACACGTGGAGCTGGCATGAAGCCCCAAGTGGAAAATTCCACCTCCAATCTCACGTGGCTGTCAGAAGGCAGGAGCACTAAGAATAACGTATAAAGCTGCATTCAGGCCACCTGCACAGCACGTGGTGTGACTATGACACAGGGAAAGTCTGTATTTAGACACAGAAAGTGAACCGGAAAACAGCACATCTCCAACGTTACTATCGCCATAATTTCCTCATTAATTAATATGTAGAAGAGAAACGATTCTTACGTTTGAAAACTAGTCCTATGTTTAACTTTTGGAAGGTCTATACTGAAAGTCTTTTTAAGACGTTGAAAAATTCAGGAAAATACCCTCCATCTACTTCAAAAGCTTTGCTATCTATCCATGGTGACAGGGACTGCCTTCCATCCATGTGCTGGGTCATCGGGGCACCAAGTCTGGGTCCTCAGTCCATCGCAGCTGTGGCGGGCTTTCTGCATTTGGAAGAGCAAGGGCTCACCTTGCAGAAGCCTTCCTCCCCTGTAGAGATGGAGAGCCAGCGCTGCGTCCAAGTTCTCGGCCGTGATGAGGTCGGCGATGTCGGAAGGGCTCTCAAAGTCAAAGGCATCTCTCAGAATGCACACGTGTCCCGCAGCCTCTAGGTGGTCCCTGTATCACTCGCAGAGGAAGGGAGGAAGGGGGCGGAGAAACGCTGGTGAGACGAGGGCTTAATCAATTCCACCAACACACTGCTCACCAGCCACCCTGTCCATGCAGTCTGCCCTCACCCACGGACGGCTGTCACTGGTGACAATGGCCGCACACACGCAGCCGCCCAGGCCTGCGCAGTGTCTGGGACCAGGGCCCGAGCACCGAACCCAGTTGAGGCTGGTCTGGTATCCTGCCATCTGCAGTGGCACGTGCTCCACCAGAAGCGTCATTCTCCTGTTCCATTCCACCTCCCTGCTTGCTCCTTCCCGTCCCAGCACTGACGGTGGACTAAAGCTTCTCCTCAGGACTCTGATACTTCTTTCAAAGGACTTCAAAAGTGTGAGACTCAGTTCAAACTTGAGTACTGCCTAAGTAATTACATGAGCAAATAAATAAAACACGGGGAACTAGGACTTTGCCCTGGTGAAACTTGAGTACAGCTGTTCCCAGACCCTCTGAACATGAGAACGGAGCCCGTCTGCCCTACCTGCAGAAATAACAAATAGCTGAGCACAGCCCTGACACAGAATCCATGCCCAAGGCTGACACAGCAAGGCCTGCCCCTCCAGCAGCTGCTCCTGCCACCCAGAGCGCCAGCCCCGCCTCCTGCCGCAGCACAGCGCCCTCTAACACGCCTCTCCTCACACATCACAGCTCCTCCTGCTCCAACCACACAGCTCTGAACTTCCTCTGTGACACCTCCACTGGCTCCCAGCCCATCCCATCATTTCTATCAGGGCCAGAGTCCCACAACCACTCGGGGCTCTGGTTTCAAAATCAGCAAATAAATGATCATCAAGTCTGCTTAAGATAACCCTTACAAATCTCTTCAATCATCTAGACAGTTTGATAGTACAAAATTCAAGTCCAACGAAGTCTTTTTAAGAAAAATGTTGGCAATGAAGTAGTTATATCCTTAGCTGGCCATTCGATGGATTAGCTAGCTTGAATTAATGGACAATGGTGCATAAAATCATACAGTATGTGGTTGTGATGGAAGTGGCACCCCCCATACACACACCCCACACCCTGGACTCAGGTGTAGAAACTTCATCTTCACTGCGAGTCATGAAGACCAAGGACAGTTCATCAGTGGTGTTTGCAGCAGGGGCTTCTGGGCGGTTGAGAACATGCAGTCGAGGCAGAGCCCTGGGGATGGACAGCTGGTGACATTCTAAGAGGAAGCAAGGCCAGAAAGCACATGCATGCACTCTGCCCGCCTGGAGCCTGCCAGCGGGAGCCATCCCTCCCTGTGGTCCTGGATCCTAAGACTGCTAGGATCGCATGATGACAACCAGGAATGGACCAGAACAAATGATGTCACACCCAAGGGGTAGCGGCCGCATTGGAACAAAGGCCTTGGGATGACTCCAGTCCCCAAGCTCTATCTCCTTCTGGGGTGGATGGTGACACCCCTTCCCCAAATTTACACTCAAATGCTTCCCTTCTGTAATGTAAATTCTGAAAACGAAGAGAAACGGAGGTGGAGCTCTTAAGTCAGCTAGTGCTGCACTGAAGCCCACCGTACATCCCGACTCCACTACTGCATGGTTGCGGCTGACTCAGCCATGGTCCATCACTGACCCCCATCCCCGCTCCCCGGCCAGACAAGCAGTAAGAGAGAAGCCCCCGGTCCTACAGCTCACTTCCGCCTAAAGATTCCATCACACAAAAAGGAAGGGTCCCACACACTTCTGAACACAGGTAAAAAAAAGGCTGTTCCATCTTCATCAAGTACTAAGAAACAGGAGGCTGGGGAAATGCAGTGACACATGGAAAAGAGTTTGGAGTCCACGTAAGAGAGTCTGTTCCTGAGAGATTGATGAGTTCTGCAGGATCAATACGGAAGAGCCCGGCGAAGAAGGCCGTTAGTATGGATAATGAGATACACAGTAATGACCCGTTCTCATCCATTAAGCCTATTTTAGACAGCATTTCAGCACCTCCCTTTATGATCTCATAAATATTCTAAATAAAAAAATTTTAATCTTAATACTCTGTGGACCAAAATTTTACCCTCGTGTCTAGTTGACTTATAACACCTTTAAATTGCTCTGCCTTTATTCCTTATGTCAAGTCATAATTCAACTCTACTAATAAATTCTCAGAGCACTTATTATGCCCAAGGAATTCTGATGGCTTTTTTTATTCTTCTAAAGAAAACCTTTTTTGAGGAAGGGGGAATAAAAACATCTCCCACAAAAATGAAGGATTATGGACTGAATACTTGAAGGCCTGGAATAAAAAGAAACCTTGGCTGCTTTAGGTTGACTTCTCCTAGGTTTTCTGTCACAGAGACAAAAAGCGGACACATACTTTTCTGAAGAAACACCAAAACACTTTAAAACTTCCGTGGTTTGTTTCTCCCTAACAGAAAATAGCTAAACTGCCATAATCCCAGCTACTCAGCAGGCAGTGATGAGGAGGACTGAAGGTTGAGATCCTAAACCCAGCTCATGCCAGGCCCAAGCCTGTAATCCTAGGCCTAGACTCTGAGTTCAAGCTCCAGGACTGGCACCTGCGGTCTCAGATTCAGGTGAAGTAGGATCCCAGCACAAGGTCAGTCCCAGGCAAAAATACAAGACCACAAAGGGAAAAAACAATGCAAGCACAAAAGGGATGGGAAACGGGGTACAGCACCTGCCTGGCGACTGTGGGCCACTGAATTCAAACCCCAGTACGTATCAGAAAATGAAGAAATTAGCTGAGCAGAAAGGGAAAGTGCTCCTCCTCTCTCTCTGCCTGATCTCCCTGCTCTAGCTTGCTCCCCCTGGGCTATGGTTCTCCGGTTGCTCTGTCCGCTCCCATTGCCCAGAGGGCAGAACACACACTGCAGGAGCCAAAGTCTGCCTTCTGGGAGGCGGTGGCCGGAATTCGGAGGAATCCCTCCACCCAGCACTGCGCCAGCCTCCTGAGAGCTCCCACACCCAGGGAGCTCAGTCCTGGGTTCCCCAGGAGCTCTACGGACCACACTCTGCTCAAAATGCAAAGGTGAGGCCTTGGACTCGGGGGCTCAGGGGACTCTTCGCCTTGGCCTCCTGGGTGTCTGGACTGACAGACCACTACCTTACCTGGCATGGTGTAAAGCTGCAATGACAGATTTGGGTGTTCCAGAATAGAACCATTTTTGCTCTTTTTTTTTTTTTTTTTTGGTCAGTCACATGGGGCTTGAAATCCGGGCCTGGGCTCTTCAGTTCAAGGTGAGCGCTCTACAACTTGAACCACAGTGCCATTTCTAGTTTTCTGATGGTTCTTTGGAGATAAGAGTCTCACAAACTTTCCTGCCCCAGCTGGCTTAGAACCATAATCCTCAGATCTCAGCCTCCTGGGTAGTTAGGATTACAGGCGTGAGCTACCAGTGCTCAGCACCATTTCTGCTCTTTAAATCCAATCTCACCTAATTCGCCCACTCCATTCTACTGGGTAAGGAGACTCTGGTCTTCATTTTGGGAAATGAAAATCAGCTTGTTGCTGAGTGTTGATGGCTCACACCTATAATCCTAGCTACTCAGGAGGCTGACATCTGAGGATGGTGGTAGAAGCCAGACCAGGCAGGAATGTCTTTAAGACTCTTATCTCCAATATACTACTCATAAACAGCTGGAAGTGAGGCTGTGGCTCAAGTGGCAAAGTGCTAGCCTTGAACCAAAGAAGCTCAGGCACAGCCCAGACCCAGAGTTCAAGCCCCAAGACCAAAAAAAAAAAAAAAGCCCAGCTTGCAATGTTTAATGTTTTCTTATTAGTACCAGTACATAGTACATGCCAGTACCTACAAACCAGTACATGGTACACCTGGAATTAGTGGTACCAGTACACAGTACATACCAGCATGGTGCATGCCAGTACACAGCACACCTGGAATTAAGCCTCCTCCTCCGAGTGCCTCTGTCCAACTTCTGAGCACAGAGTGAATGAGACAGACGTCCCTGGGCTCCTGACGGGGGCCCTGGGAGAGCCCTACGGGAGGGACGTGTCTCCCTGGTCCTCTCCGTGACTGGGGGGGCCTGCGGGCTGGCGAGGCCGGCTGCAAGCCCTGACCGCGAGTGAGGCCTCGGAGCGGCGGAGGGGAAGCGGTTGGGAAACGCATGCGGCAAGGCGGTGCGTGGAGAGGCCCCGGCCAGCTTCCCCTGGGCACCTGATCAGGTCGTTCCCCGCCGGCTAAGTAGGCCCGGGCTGGCCGGGACCCAGGCTCGCGGGGGGACGGGTCCCCGGCCCCCGCCTCGTGCGCCCGGCCCCGCCCCGCAGGCGCCGGGAGGCGCGCGGGCGGGCGGGCGCGGCGCCGGGCGGCTCCGGAGGCCGCGCAGCATCAGGACCCGGCTCCCACCCAGCCGAGCCCGGGAGCCCGCGGGCTCGCGCACGTGCGGGGGATCCGCGGCCCCGCCGCCCGCCCGCCCGCGCCGGGTCCGTTCCGCCCCGCGCCCGGCCCCGCGCGCCCCGCGCCTACCGGACACGCTGGGCCGTGACGGCGTTGCCGGTGTGCGGCCGAAGCACCGCCAGGAACAGGAGCCGCATGGCGCCGCCGCCGCCCGGGCCATCGACCGGGCGTCCGCCCGGCCCCGCCGCCCGCTCCGCAGGCCGCGCTCGCGCCCGCGGGGAGGGGGAGTCGCCCCGGGAGCGGCCGGGGAGGGGAGGGCAGGGGAGGGCAGGGAGGGGAGAGGACGGGGGAGGGGAGGAGGGCGGACGGTGGGGAGGGAGGGTGGGGTGGGGCTGGGCGGGGCCTCGGGTCCGCAGAGTTTCGGCACGAGGGGGGTGCACGGGGCGGGGTGGGGGGAGGGGGTGACACGCGTGGCCTCCAGGGAGACCGGCCTGGCCACATGACGGGAGGGCCCCGGCCGGGCCCCAGGTCCTGTCCCCCAGCCAGATGCGGGGACGCGCAGAGGACGCCCCAGGTGGAGCCTGGGATGGCAAGGTCCCCAGCACCTGAGTCCCAGCCTGGCCCGGGGCGCAGCCCCAAAGACCTCCACACCCTCGTCTGGTCATCGGAGACCTCTGTGGGTCAGGACAACCAGTGATGGGACAGATCACCCCAGTGGGATCACTGTCTATAATGATCAGGACAGATCACCCCAGTGGGACCACTGTCTATAATGATGGGGACAGATCACCCCCGTGGGATCACTGTCTATAATGATGTGGACAGATCACCCCAGGGGGATCACTGTCTATAATGATGTGGACAGATCACCCCAGTGGGATCACTGTCTATAATGATGGGGACAGATCACCCCAGGGGGATCACTGTCTATAATGATGGGGACAGATCACCCTAGTGGGATCACTGTCTATAATGATCAGGACAGATCACCCCAGTGGGATCACTGTCTATAATGATGTGGACAGATCACCCCAGTGGGATCACTGTCTATAATGATCAGGACAGATCACCCCAGTGGGACCACTGTCTATAATGATCAGGACAGATCACCCCAGTGGGACCACTGTCTATAATGATCAGGACAGATCACCCCAGTGGGATCACTGTCTATAATGATCAGGACAGATCACCCCAGTGGGACCACTGTCTATAATGATCAGGACAGATCACCCCAGTGGGATCACTGTCTATAATGATCAGGACAGATCACCCCAGTGGGACCACTGTCTATAATGATCAGGACAGATCACCCTAGTGGGATCACTGTCTATAATGATCAGGACAGATCACCCCAGTGGGACCACTGTCTATAATGATCGGGACAGATCACCCCAGTGGGATCACTGTCTATAATGATCGGGACAGATCACCCCAGTGGGAGCACTGTCTATAATGATGGGGACAGATCACCCCAGTGGGACCACTGTCTATAATGATGTGGACAGATCACCCCAGTGGGATCACTGTCTATAATGATGTGGACAGATCACCCCAGTGGGATCACTGTCTATAATGATCAGGACAGATCACCCCAGTGGGGATCACTGTCTATAATGATCAGGACAGATCACCCCAGTGGGATCACTGTCTATAATGATCAGGACAAATCACCCCAGTGGGGATCACTGTCTATAATGATCAGGACAGATCACCCCAGTGGGGACCACTATAATGATCAGGCTGACCCTTAGAGCCAGAGAAATCATAAGAATGATTGCTCCCCTCAACTGTGAAAGCTTCTTGGGGAGAGCCCACCTCTAACTGGGCCATCTTCCCACAGCACCATGCCATGTAATTTTGCTCTGACATCTTTCTTTCCTAATAAACTCTTACTACTCTGGTGTCTTGCCTGTTGTTTTTTTTTTCTGTCTGTCATGGGGTTTGAACTCTGGGCTTGGGCGCTGTCCCTCAGCTCTTCAGCTCAAGGTGAGCATACCACTTGAGCCACAACTCCACTTCCAGTTATGTGAGTGGTTCATTGGAAATAAAGAGTCTCATAGACTTTCCTGCCCAGGCTGGCTTTGAACCATGATCCTTAGATCTCAACCTCCTGAGTAGCTAGGATTACAGGCGTGAGCCACCAGTACCCGGCCTGAATTATTCTTTCACAGGATGCAATCTGGAGGTGTTTAGCTGGGCCGGCTTTGTCTGGGAAGAGCTGTGGGGATTGTAGTGAGAGGCAGGAAGCATCTGAAAGTGGAGCCCATGTTCCCAGATGGACTCTGGGAACAAGTCCATCCAACCAACCAGGACAGGGAGTGTCAGGGTTGGTAAGAACTTTACAAAGATACATAAAGGCAGTGATGCCTGACAGGTTTGACTCATAACTCCTGAAACTGACCTCACCCCCAAAATACTCCTAAGAACTTCCAAGGGAAGTCGCCCTAGCACCACCACTAGCCCTCCTCAGCAGGACCTCAGACGTGTGGCCCGCTCCTTACGGCAGGGAGCAGGAAAGAGGTTCACACTGCCTTTGTAGAACAATTAGATTCACTCACTTCTCTCTAAAAGGCAGCTGGACCATGCTCATCTCCCTCACTTTCCAGTTTCCTGATAAGCAGGCTCGTCTCTGTGATTTTAATCCTGTCAGATAATATTTGCCTGCCTGTGATGTTTCTCTTTTCAGTCCCTCGACAGCTCATGAGTTGTTGAAACAGACACAGAACTGCTCTGAGAGGACTTTGGGAAATGTGGGGATGTAGAGGGAATTTGCCGTCAGCGTGATTAAGGAAAGCTCTCAGTATTTTATGAGGCCAGGCAGGTCTAACACGTTATAGTGTGATGGACAGCCCTGCCCAGAGCACTGTCCTTCTAAAATGTCAACAGCTGCCGGCCTTGCTCAGGGGTCTCCAGAGAAACAGAACCAGCAGATTTTGCACCCAAGTGGAGACAGGCTGAGGATCTGGCTCTTGTATCTGAAGGCTGACCAACACAGCGGGCCACACACACCCGGTGTCTGACCCACTCCTGGGCTGAGAGGACATGAGACGGTATTTTGTTTAGCAGCACAAATGGAACGAGACTGTCATGCTCCTGGGGCCCGAAGATTAGGATGTGGGCATATCTCTTTCTGGGCCTTCAGCCTTCCATACACTACCCTACCACAGACACGCCTGCCCTTGGGAGGCTCCCAGCTCCCCATCTGGACTGTTCTCAGCCTTCCTTCTCCCTGTGCTCTCCATGCCCTTCCCACATCCTGGCTCCGGTCTGCTGCTCTGGTGGAGTCCTCGGCCCTTGCCCCTACAGCATCCTGACTCCCCACTCTCCAGAGAGGACATGGGTGCTGCCAAGGCGCTCAGTAAACACTTGCCAGACTCAACCAAGTCATTGTATGTGTGTGGCTATGTTGTTTTTTTTAAAATTGGTTAGCACTATGTGGAAAACTCAGGGCCTACACATATGAGGCAGGTAATCTCTACCACCAGTCACGCCTGGAGCCCCTGTAGACATTAGTTATTTTTGAGGTAGGATCTTGCTTTTTGCCAAGGCTGGCTTGAGCTTTGAACTTCCTACTTATTCTTTCCCGTTGCCAGGGATGACAGGCACGTGCCACTGCACCCAGCCACTAGTTGAAATGGGAGTCTCAAGAGCTTTTATGCCAGCTGGCCTCAAACCATGGTCCCCCAATCTCCACCTTCTGAGGCGCCCAGACTCCAGGCTGGAGACAGCACCATGCATTCCAGGGCTGTGAGATGCTTTGCTGGAATGGGAACTCACACTTGACTTTCCTGGAATACACCTGATCTCTCAGGAGAGAGATGTCTGATGTATCTTTTGGGACCCATTTCTTTATATATTCACTGCTTCGGTTTACTCATTTGTAAAATGAGAAAACCATAAACATCATAGTTAATTAGCTCATTTTGATGAAGTCTTTCATGATTCTCCCAAGCAAGTAATATAAAAGGGCACAGAGGCAAGTATGTCATCATGGGGTACCTAGACATAATTACTGAAGCAAATACATTATCATGAGGTATCTATACAAAATTACTGGCGAGGAGGAAGAAGGGTGACAAAGACAGAAAACAGGGCACCTCTTGTGGGACTGCTTCAGACATTCCCAATAGGAGGCCATGAAATGCACATAAAGCCAGTGGTGGCTCCTAGCACAAGGACGAACGAAGCATTACTGTCCCCCCTGTACATTTCAAGGGGGAACCCCATGGCACACTGGCTTCGGGGGGGGGGGGCTCTGTAAAAATCAGCACTCGGCATCTTTATCCTCATGGTAGTCAGTAGCGGAGCACCCTGTGTCTGTTTTTATGGAAGGTTTTGGTCTTTGTGCTTTCAGTGTTCCTTAAAGTGCTTCTACAGTGAGTGCTGGGTATACCTGTGCTCATACATGTCCATATGCATACATGTTTGCCAGTGGCAGAGAGGGAGGGACAGAAAAACAGGAAGAGGGGAAATGTGTGACACTGTGGTTTGTGTGGTTTTGTTTCCTGTCCCTGACTTTCCTTCACAGCATTTAGCAATGACCAAAGGGAAAGAAAGAAGCAGCCTCAGTCTACCTTCTGTGAAGGAGGGTGGCTTCACTAACAGGCTGAAATCCATCAGAAGCATTCTTCCTCCGAGCCTCCGCAGGAAATCAGGCCCTCTAAGCACTGGGCAGAGCTGATTTTAACTTCTCAGCATGCTGACGTGCTTCCCAAAGATTCTCATCCCTGCCTGTGAATAAACAAAAAAAGAACTGTAAAAGTCCCACAGCCCTGAGACAAGCGGTATCAATATTCCATGTTTTCTAGACTTCTCGGATGGAAACGAGCCAGGCTGCTTGATCCGCTTATGAGGCGCTTGCTGTCTATAATGTTGCTCCAGCACTCTGTTCCTCACTGAATCCCCACCAGCCTCAGCTGGAGTGCCTGAGACCCAGGAGACCTAGAACTTCCCCCCAAGGTGATGTATTTTTTTTTTTTTTGTCGGTTGTGGAGCTTGAACTCTGGGCCTGGGTGCTGTCCCTCAGATCTTCAGCTCAAGGCTAGCGCTCTACCACTTGAGCCACAGAGCCACTTCCTGCTTTTTCTGTTATGTGGTACTGAGGAATTGAACCCAGGGCCTCATGCATGTGAGGCGAGTGCTCTACCACTGAGCCACCTTCCCAGCCCAGGCGATGTATTCTTACATTGGCTTTCTCTGGTTCCCCTCAGGGGAATAT